GGTTAAGGTAGGGAAGTGAGTACTAAATACTTTCATGATATTATAATATAATTGTTTGTAAATAACCTGATTTTAACATTAGCAACGAAATTTAAAATGATTTTATTTTAACACAAATAATTCAATTTAAAATAGATATAATATAATATACTACAACGGAAAAATATTGACGACGCCCAAAATAATAGAGATACCTAATTCCAGCAACGTTTTATACACTTTTATTATTACAACGAGATGGTGATAAAATGGTAAAATAATAGAAAGTATCCGATAATTTTATTGTTATTAGTATCTATTGAACTAAAATCGGTTAATATGTAATAATAAATGTGCACGATTATTTACCAAGGACGAAGGAAACTATATTCATATCCTGTGGCAGTTACCACAATATTTGGTAATGACCATGGCTGAAGTCATTTTCGTGGTGACAGTTAACAAATTCGAATTTACAGAGGTTTATATTGTTTTATTTAACGATATTATTTCTTTTTCTTCATTTAATTCACTAGTTTACTATGTACCATTATATACTTATAACTTATAAGTAATCTAAAAACCAATTTTTTTTTTTGGACTCGCCATTTAAATATTTAATATTTTTATTTTATAATATTGTGATTGCTTATACATCGACACAGGAGCCGATAAACTTGAAGTCGTTCATATCCGCTGTTATAGTTGTTTATTGACAAGGAAACTTGTTGGTCGTAATCATATCGACTATATCAATTCAAAACCAAGTATTTATTAATTTTTAGTTTTGATTATAAGTATTGTATGTACACATAATTTGTCATAACTTTTTTTTGTACGTCATTTAGGTACTCGAATATATTTTATACTGTGGTCTCATGTCTCGACACGTTGTTATTAGCTTATTTCAGTGTGGTTTATCGGAGTAAGAATATGGACACGGCGCAATACCACTGAACTAGAGCAAAAAGGACGACATATTAATGGTCTCGGCTGAATACCTATGTTGTTGTATTCAATAAAACTGACAATAATAATTTATGTAATGACTTAAATAATTATTATTTGTGTGAAGGTTCATATGAAAAGTAAATAATAAGGATGTTGGAATCACCAATACGGCAATACCTAACTCGACGTGCCAAAAATTAACCATTTTTTCCTGCATGTCATTAAATTATGAAAAACTAATGTTATAATTAATATAGTAAAAATATATATATATAACGTGAAAATATTCTTATTGTCATCAAACATTATTATGAAACTAGCGAATTCTGTTTGGTCAGAGAGTTTTTCATATTTTATCGGATTTATTCAATGAGAAACTTTATACAAATATTTTTTTTTGCTATACATTGTATACAATTTTTATTGTAGAACTTACAAATTAAAATCTAACAAGAAAAGATTTTACTACTAATAGATAAGAAAATGTGGTTGAATTTTAAACCGAAAATAATGAAAATTACTGGTAGAGGTACATAAATTCATAAATCTATACGTATAGTTTATTTATAGAAATCAGTCATTTGTCAATTTTATATAGTTTCTCTTCGTTATATGAGTGATCACGTAAGAGAGAATCAGAAGAAGTTTTCAACTGGATTTTGCAATCCACTATAACTTATGTAGTGACGGCGTAAGGCGTAACGTATAGGCAAAATGGGTACATCATTTTTTAACAACATGAAAAAAACTTTAAAAATAGCATTTAATTTACAATCGTATTATTATTATCCTGTTGAAAAATATTAGTATTATGATAGTTTGTATATTATATTATACTTCAATATTTGGAGTACAATGGCTTAGAAATTATATTACAAACATAATCCTCTACATACGCAATGCATAGCAAATATAATATTAAAGGTGTTTTTTACTTACTATTTAAAATAATATTTGTATAGCCGATATGTATAAATGATAAGATTTTTGATAGATTTAAATTCTAATAGTGTCTTAACTGAAACATCACTTTTTTATTAGGTTAATAAAAATTATATTATCGTACAACACACTCGAATGTTGTGACAAATATCAAATAATAGAGCTACCTAAAAAAAATATCTTTCCGATTGTTGGGTACGGAAAGTACTGTATAAGGACTATAAGGTATTTGGGTTGGGTTTATTGGGGGACTACACTTGCTGCAAGTGTCCAAATGTCAATAACACCACTAGAAAGAAAAATTAAAAGCGTTGTTTTTTGTTCAATAGATACACTATTTACTGGAAAAACCCCCACACTTCTCTTAATGGTCTGATTTCAATAATTTGTATTTATTTTGTTGCAAGAAACATGAAGATCGCAGGGTACATGGTTATTGATTACGTTAGTAAAAGCAAAATAATAAAGAAAATTAAAAATATGTGAACAATCCCAATTAGTCCTATTCAAACTCTTCTACATTATAATAGAATTTTGATGTTTTATTATAACTAAATCATATTTATTTGACCTCTAGTCAATTAGACAACAATTAATTAATACATATTTTACACAATTATGACCTATATAATAATAATGTATTTTAATTAGCAGATTCATTGGATTTTTTCATCACACATCAATAAGATATCTAATCAAAAAAACAAATTAGCAATCGAGAACAATTGGTTTTCGACTAACTGGACTAATGAACTAATGGACTATAATTAAAAATGTAAATTTGTACACACCAATAATTCATAAATATCTACTGATTATTTGTAATTAATTGTAATTCACTACTTACTAACTTACTTATTATAAAATCATCATTTATTCCTATTATGAAGTCAATAAATACCACAGAATTGTACAAAAAAAAATATTTATAATATATGAACTAACAAAATAAACGAGGGGCCTAGAACACAAGGGTATAACTGTATAAGTGAAGTTTTTAAAAAATCTGAGATAAGTGCTCAATATCTAAAATACGAATTTTCCGTTTATTTTGTGACAAAGAGATAATATGAGTGAATTATTTGTCATGTGCTGCGATCTGGTAGCATATTCGTTCTGGATTAGCAGCCGTAAAGAGATACAAGTGCACTGATTTCAATCGTGATTATTTAAAAATTCAAATAATGTCACTTATACCCCTTGTGGTCTAGGCGCCTCATACAGTATAATGACACTATATAAAAATATAATATAATTTAATTCATTAATATTAGGTACGTCTATAGCTGCTACATTTTACAAAAGCCATTAAACAAACAATTGTTTGCCTAATTCGTTTACATTGAGGTTCGAATACATAATATTATAAGTCAAATATTAATATTGTAAAATACTTTTAAGTATAAATATTGGATGTATCAAATTGATTTTCCTCCAGTCGTAATGGAGGAATTTTTAATGCCTTAAAACTAGAGAATAAAACTCAATACTTTCATAATATATTATAATAATCATTGCATATTGACAAATAATTTAATTTTAAAGCGATTATAGAAATCTAAAGCAGATATAGGTACTGATGTGTTCTTCTTCTACTTCTAAAAATATTTGCACTCTAACAATAGACATTCCTGATGCCTACCTAATTAATTCAGCCACTTTTTGTACACTTATATTACAAAAAAATGGTTATAAAACGGTTAGATAATAGAGTGGTAATTGATATGAAAATTGAAGGAAATTAATGTCTAGTATACTATAATCAAATTGTGTGTAACAAATCTGAATTCGCTGACGTTTATGTTTTAGATTCTGAGCGTAGCGATGAACGTTTTTATATTACAATGGTGTACAACTATTTACTTACAGCCCATTAACTATTCACACACAATTTAAGTGTTTATTTTACCGTTTGATTCAAGAAAATATTTAAAATACCTTTCTACTCTAATATTAACATAAATTGTGGTTATTAGATTTAGTGTACTTATATAGTTTAGTTTGAGTGTTTCGTATATTGTTATATTCACTAAGAAACTTTAAATAAATTACATATTTTTTTTCTATATTGTATAATGTATTATAGATATACCTAGGTAGGTACTATACTATAAGACTTAATACAAGATCAGAATATCCAACTAGATGAAAATATCTAGGGGATCAAAAAACCAACAAACAGGATAACAAATCTGGATTAAAAAGAAATGAAAATAACCTGTTTAAAAAAAAGAAGAATAATATTAACCATTTGACGCATACATTTAATTGTGATATGTCATGTCTACCTATAAGTTGTAAATATTTCAATATTTTATTATTTTAACTGTTTATATATTATTATTAATAACTATGAGGTAGAAAAAAAAATGAATAATAATAGGTAATAAAATATTTGTAATGTTATCTATTTTCAAATTATAGTTGATATAACCTACGATGTGTATACTCACCAGCAGACGTCAACAGGTTTACATTGAAAAATGGAAAAACTCATTTAACTATACAATTTTAAAACATTTAAGAAAATATATTTAATTTGCTAATGATTGACAAGTGTCAATTAAACACTATAAATTATAACCTATAAATTTATGTAAGTTGAGTAGTCGTTCATAAAACAATAATATATTATAAACATATAACAATCAAACTCTAATAATTTATTAATAATGATTTTGTTTTTTTTTTTAAACAGAGCATTTTTCATAATATTTTTATTTAATTGAATAAAATATTCGTTGGATATTTTAATCTAGATTCGTAATTCGCAAACTGGGTGATAAAAAAAGATTATTTCGAGTACCGGATTAATTAATATAATTTGGCAATAAAACAATTATTATATTATAACATTATCAAAACATGTATACAAAATACTGAGGTACACACTCTCAATGCACTCGACGAAACATTGTGTGAGATATATATTTTCATTTAATACGGTGTCTTATGATATCTAAAATTGTCCACTTTAAAAATTGTAAAAAAAATGCTTCGATAACACACTGCAAATCCACCAGAGTGAATACGTGGTTGTAAAAACTACTAATTTCAGGAACGTACATACCGGTTCCGTTAAGTATTGTGAATTGTAATCAGAAATTCCTTTTTATTTTCAGCTCAACATGGATTTGATGTCTCGTAAAAAGGAAAAATCGGTGAGTTGATAAGTGAAAATACTTAAATATTATTTTGAAAACCTCAAATATTTTCAATTTTATGGGTCACACTATTATAATATATAAACACTTTTTACTTTTCAATTCAATAAATGTACAACCTGTCATTTTATCACCGTCCATTTTATTTTTTACCTCTATTTAATTTCCAGAAAAGTTTTACCAATATTTATATTTTAATGCGAAACAGTTGTTTAGTTAAAAAAATGTGTTATGTAAATTGAATTCGGACATTTTTTTTTTAACAATATTAGGTCGGATGAATGTAAATTCTTTGATTTCAGGGTAGGATTTATAATATTTATATTCCACCAATAAATTTATTTAAAAAATAATTCTATTGGTAGGTACATAACCAATATCCGGTACTAAGTATAGATATAAACTCCACCGAATGTATACAAAAAAATTGTATGGACAATATTATACAAAAAATAAAAACTATATTAAATATTAAATTTTAAAACATTTTAGGTACGTCATATAGTTTGGAAAAAAAGTATTTCACTTTATACGCTTTATCGGGAAAAAAATGTCAACTTTACGAATGTATTGCTATCCACGTGATGATAAACAAAAAATCAAATATCTAGGCAATTAAAATTATGTTTTATGAAATTGAAAACTTTTTGTAATTAATGTTATCCGTTGAGGTAGAGAAATGTGTGCAATTACTCTTTTTTAATCAAATGTAGTTTTACTTCCTAATTATTTTACAGGTCAAAAGTTAGTGCTAATGGAATTTACATGTTTTATCGGTAAAAAAAAAATTGTACCAGTGAAATTTACATACAAAAAAGGTATAACGGTGCAATCATTTACAATATAGCCCATTAGGTTTAAAATAAATAATGAAGTATATAAATCATACTATATTTTCATAAATTTTTTTTTATTTCAAATTTTCAACACTATTTATTTAAATGAGTTTGTATTCGCCATCCAGTGTAAAGGAGGACATCCAAAATTCCGAAAAAAAATGTGTTAGAGTGTAATGTGCATTGCATACCTAACTTATCTTATAAATCAAAAATAAAATTGATTTGCACAATGTAGTCGGTTTTTGACATAATAGGCGATTAAGGTTCTGCTTCAATATTAGCCTCGACGATTTGCGTAATTATTATGTAGGACGTTGGTATACGTATACCTATATACATGGTTTATGGTAATCAGTGAATTTTGCGAACTATTTACCTATTGTGGATTAAAAAGTGAGTCAATAAAGAGAGTTGACAGTGGTTATGTTGACTGATAAATGACTTAAACAACAATTTTTTACTATATTAATGGACTGTATATTTAATATTATTTTTGCGAGTGCGTAGCCGACAACTCGACAACAACTACTGACTTACACACATTATACATAGTATAATCACAATATAATTTCTAACGAAATTAAATATAGATACAGGTTTATCGTTTATCGATAACAATATTAGGTATGACGTTTCCGCCGTAACAGGTTATAATATATAATTTTGCTAATTTTGTAATAAAATCATATTAAGTATTATGTATACCAAATAGCTTTATTTCAAATTGTCAACACTATTTATTTAAATAAATTTCAATAAGTTTCATGAAAAGAAGAATTAAACTAATAGGACATACACTATAAGACATAACAGCCTATTTAAAAGAATTATGGAAGGAATGATAGAAGGAAAGAATGTAGTTGGTAGACCACCTCTGGACTACTAACAACAAATAATGAGGGATGTGAACCTGCCAAACTACAGACAAATGAAGAGGAAAGAGGAAAATCGGGAAGAATGGAGAGTTGCAACAAACCAGCACCATGGCTATTAACTAAAAAAAAAAAATGTATTTAAATGAGTTGGTATTCACCATCCAGTATAAAGGAGGACATCCGAAAAAAATGTGTTAGAGTGTAATGTGCACACCTAACTTATACGTTCTCTTATAAATCAAAAATAAAATTGATTTGCTCAATGTAGACGGCTTTCGACATTCAGTGGAGGCGCGAAATCGTATAGGCTTTGAAGCATAATATGCTATACAATATATATTGTATATTTTAAAAAATTTTACCACCGCACCCTTCATTGAACCAAAATTAGCAGTAGGGGCCATTAATAATTATTAATTATAATATTTGCCATGATATTTGTGTTGAGGTCTTACGATTATATATATATTTATACACCCACCCACCCATATCAGACATGAAGCAATTGCTTCAAATAATCCTATATCCCGCCGCCACTGTTTGACATAATAGGCGATTAAAGTTATGCTTCAATATTAGCCTGAGCGATTTGCATATTAACAATTATTATATAGGTATACCAATACATTTTACTCCACCATAGATTATTGAATCTACATTTTCAAAAAAAGTTATTTGCGTTTTCGAAATACACCAAGTATACAATATACGTGGTTTGTCGTAATAAGTGAATTTTGCGAACTATTTAACTATTCCGGATTGAAAATGAGTCAATAAAGAGGGTTAACAATGGTTATGATTAGTAATTTTGCTAATTTTGTAATCAAATCAAATTAAGTATTATGATGTCTACAAATATATTTTACTATTCCGCAAAATGACAATTTGATAATTTTCTTAAAAAGTTTTTTGTTTTTTAGAAATACCTCAAGTATACATGGTTTATAGTAGGCAATGCATTTTGTGAATGATTTGAGAGGTTAGGTTAGGTCGAACATTGGGCAGGAGTAGGTTTCTCGATCGTTAATTAAATACTTCTAAAATTAATAACGAAATATCCCATCATTGCAATATCTATATTTTCCTAAATTTACGTAATAAACTTTATTTCAAAACTAAAATATATAAGTTTGTATAAAAGAGGAAATCTGAACAATTTCGTTTGAGTGTAATGTGCACACATTACTTACCACGTTCTCTCATACTTTACTTTACTAAGTAAAAAATTAAATCGCTTTGCTCAATACAGATGGGTTTTAACGAAACAGGTGATAAAGGTCTGTTTCAATCAGCCTCAACGCATAGGTAATAATAGTTATGTATGTCATTATATTTGACGATGATTTACGACTAATCGTCCGCAGGATATCGAATCTATATTTCAAAAAAAAAATATTGGTTTTTTAGAAATACCTCAAGTCTACGCGGTATATTTTGGTCAATGAATTTTGTGAACGATTTACCTATTTGGGATTGAAAAGTGAGTGAATAGAGTGGGTGGTTACAGTGGTTAAATATGACAAAATTTTGCGAATTTCATAATTTATTAATAATAATATGTTTAGCTGTTTTAATTTTGTACCTGACAAGTATATTGAAGTTCAACGGAGACGAGTCGACAATAATATATCACAGTTTCATATTTCTATCGTACTTCGTGCCATTGCCGTGTGCGATCTTGGGAGACTCTTATTGGGGAAAATTCAAGTACGCTTTGTTCATTTGGTTTCATATATTTTAATCTTCATAAATAACTTAGGTACCTATCTGATGTTTTAAAATCATGGTTTTCATTATATTTTTTTTTAGAACAATTATATGTTTGTCGTCAATCTACGTAGTGGGATGCATCGTACTCACTGGCGCATCGATTGCAAATATGTTCAGCCTGGACGTTCAAAAGTAAATAAAACATTATTTTGCAGTATATTCCCAATACACAATCATTTTTTACGTAGAATTCAGCAATCAAATTTTTATTCATAGGTTTCAGCATATAAATAGTTTCCAACAAAATTTCTAACACATTTCCTTCGGTGATTTCGATTCAACTTTGACTACGTGCCCAGTCCATTAAACCGAATACCATGAATAGGTATATCAAATTAACTTCGCATTGACCTCATCATCAATACTCAGCCCACGACTATTATAGTAAAGTATTCGTTATTTATTCGCAACCACTCCACCACCAGGAAACTATCAGTTGACAATCTTTAGTAATACATTTAGAAATCTCTGATCGATATTTTTCTAATCCTCAATATTATTTTCTTATATCATATACGTATATGCGATTTAATTATCGATAAATAGTACATAATTCTTAGTCCAACTATTTTTCGTTTCAAGAAACTGCCAATTGAATATCAGTAAATGTTTAAAATATATTCATTCGCAATTTAACAATACATTATCCTTTTTTTTTTATTACAATCCCCTTCACAAATTTAAAACACAAATTAAATATTTCAGAAATAGGAATACCAATTAACAATACCGATAACCTTGAACCTTTAATTTATCTTTTGCCACCTCACAACTTCTTTTTATTGGTTTAGGGCACAAATGTAACGTCCTGACTGTTTGAATAATACCATAGACTATATAGGGATATACCAATCCCGAATCCCCGTTTAAATGCCACTTAATATATTGAATTGAGTTTTGTTATAGTATCATAATATAATATGTGTGTAACCTGTTATATTACTTTTGGATTTTTAGTACCAGTTAAGTGTGTTGTACAAATGACAAAATAATTAAATACAAAGTGTATCTTAAGGGCATTATTTTAGAATATTGTAAAAAATATGAATTTGCATTTTTATCAAAGTTAGAAATCACACTACCGTCAATCTAATAGTACAACAAAAACATAAAAACGATTTAAATGTGTACCATAGTGTAGGAATGACGATGAAAGGATCTTTGGACATTATCATATTATACATTATTTATTAAATATATATTTATTTATTATATGTATTTATATCATAAGAAAAAATTTGTTTGGACAGAGAGTATAGTATTACATATTTTTTTAAATTTTAAGTCTTATTAAAAGTAACATAAAAAAAAATAAAAATAATGTCTGAAACTTTCAGTAAGACTGACGTTTGCTTGATATCTAGCTGTAAGATACCTATATTGAATTAAATTCTCTACTGATCGGCATATCAAAAGTTCTCATCATAAAACCTTGTTTAGGTACAAATATTGTCTCAAATCACCATCTCACATTTATATTATATTATATAATATAATATATATATTTTTTTTTAAGAATCTTAGCTTTCCTTGGATTATTTTCCATATCCGTTGGTACGGGTGGCATAAAACCGTGCAATTTTGCTTTTGGTGGAGATCAATTTAAATTGCCTCAAGAAGAAAAACATTTACATCACTTCGCTACCATGTTTACGTTAGCCGTATACACTGGATCGTTGATCGCGACGTTTTTGATGCCCGAATTAAGACACAGCATACATTGTTTTGGCAGAGACACGTGTTTTCCATTAGCTTTCGGTGTGCCAACCATTATGATGTTCATTGGCATAGGTAGGTATATATTTTCGATATTTATTATCTGCAATAGCTATCATCTAGAGAGGAAATAATAATACCCATAGGTAAATTCACCCTCAATTTAAGTATTATTTTATTCCAGTATGATTAATGAATGAATGGAAAATATCTACTTAAGTATAACTTTTTCCTCCCTTGCCACATGATTATCATAACTCACAATCCACAAGTCTTTCTTAATCACACAGTTTCCATATAAAATACAACCATTGTTCAACATAAACAACATATAAATACAGTACACCGTTTTACATTTCTCAGTGATATTCGTAGCTGGAAAAAACACGTACGTGAAGAAAAAACCGGAAAATAACGTCTTAACAAGGACTTTTGGTTGCATTTTTGTAAGTTTCATTTAATCACGCTGTACATGAACCGACCGAAAATGTTTATGATAGTTTTAACGCTATTCTTTAATTTGGATTTTAAGTATGCACTACGAGCGAAATTTACTTCCTCTGTTCCCTGCAAAACCCACTGGTTGGATAACGCAAAAGGAAAGTACACCGAATCGGAGATATCTGACACAAGGTCGGTCCTGAGCGTGATATGCGTATTCACTGCATATCCGGTATTTTGGTCGCTGTACGAACAACCGGTACTGTATCTACCTATTATATCGATAACAGTAAAGAGTTCTAAATTCATAGGTAGATTCTGTTGGGGGGTTTTCTGGAGGGTGAGTCGCCCAGAAATTGAAATACCTCCCCCACCTAAACGGAATTGTATGTACATCAATGGACCATGTGTCCATGTCATAATAGTAATTAAGGTGTGAACGACGTTATTTGGCCAATACAAACCTCCCTCCTCAAAAAAAAAAAAATCAAAGAGAGGATGTAAAAGACGGATAAATTTAACCCTCTGGCGTGGTATAGGGTTCAAGGTGGACGTTACAAGCCATGTTGATGAACGGTCACGTGGACTTCTTAAACTGGACAATCAAACCAGATCAAATCCAGATGCTAGTACCATTATTTGGAGTAATTGTACTCGTCCTTTTTGACGTCGTTCTGTATCCGATGTTTGCAGCGATAGGACTCCGGAAACCATTACAAAAGCTCACCTTTTGCGGTGTCCTGGCGGCCATAGCATTTGTGTTCGCGGCCGTACTTCAGTTTAAAATAGTTGTAAGACTATATTTTTTTGGACGTATAACTTTTTTTCTTTACTCGTTGTTTTGTTGATTTTTTAAAGGGTAACACAACTCAGATACCATCTGGACAAGGGCAGCTATACATTTACAATGGATTCGATTGCCAAGTGTTCATAGAGTCGAAATCGTTACAACTACAGAATCAAATCGGCCCACTCGAAATGTTCAACGTCAGTCATGCAGTTGTGTCTCAAAATTTGTCAGAAGACGTCATGGTCGTCGGGATTACATTACGTTTCGGATCAAAGTGCAATTTTGTGTTAGACAACTACGAATTCACTACCAATGTAACAATAATCGAAGGAAAAGTAAAGAATTCAATTTTATCGCTGTATTATATATATATATAAGTGGCTTTGTCTTGACTAGCAGTTAATTAACGTAGAGCCTAAACTATATTATATAGGTACAGACTTGGAATTAAAGTACTCGACACCATTGTTTAATGTAAATGCCAACTATAAGAAATGATTTGCATGGATTTTGAGATGCACGATGAATATTTTGGAGTTATTTTTATTTATAAATGGGCAACCATTGGTTAGATACATTTTACAGATTATAATAGTGATATCAGAAATAATTGGTAGAAATAAGTATTTTTTAATATTGGCATAAATGGTTGCCAATGGTTACTCAGTCAAATATGATAAATGCTTGGATCAAATCTTCACGTTTCCGGCTTTAAAGAAATAAAGAAATGTTATCTTAAAACAAACATGAGGTTTGAAGGCAAAGCCGTGTGGCACAGCCTGGAAAATATACAACGTTACTTAACAAGACATAATTAATATGATTCAATTTCATAATATTTTGAAAATAAAACTCCTATAACTTATTATAAATTGCATTGTTCATGTAATTTGAGTATTTGACCGATTCAATGTGGATTACCTCATCAGTAAAAAAATCGAGACGTTGTTTTCCTTTTTATTAAGTGTTTGAGTTTACCTCGTCATTGTTAATGTGCCAGCCTTATTTCTAAGTATATTTTATAATATATTAAATATTGAATACTACTAGCACATTTTTTTCTATTTTTAAGTGATAAAAGAAAATCAGAATTATTTTTTAAATTATATTCAATACATAATTATACATTATAATGATAAAAAAACAAGCTTAAGTTAGTAATAACATAACAGTTTCTTGTTTTCTATTTCAACATAAAATCTCGTTAAATGTTAAAATCAAATAACTTTTATAATTTCGTTGTTTTTTAAATCGTTTTAGGAGATTTCGTATCACTTGGCCCGGCTAAATTCAAACACAATTGCATTAAATCGTATTGGTATTCATGACAGTTTAGTCAAAGAAAAGTTTGGAAACCCAAATTTAAGGTTAGTATCTAAACGCTGTCTGTAGTAATACCAGTGTTGGGTAGTAACGTAACGAAAGTAACGCGTTACTGTAACGCCGTTACTTTGTTTGTAACGCGTTACGTAATTTAATTACAATTATTTTCAAATAACGAAAATGTAATGAAAATTACTTTTGATGAGTAATTTACATAGTATAACGCGTTACAGTTTTAAATTATTTAGTACCTATTGCGAATTTCAAAAAAAAAAAAACTTAAAAATATAATGTCTAATGCGGGTATTATTTATCATACAAGTGGTTAATTATTATACGTTCCTAATGTTCTTATTAACTATTATCTATTATTAAGCATAAACTATACGTCTGTACATGCACTAAAAATAAATATTGATGGATAACCAATGATAAATCGAATTATTTACATTGCAGTGTTATAAATAATTATTATTGCTGTTTGGCATTTTACAAGAAACGGTGAAAATAATAAACTTATATAATATCTTTATTAGTAATGACTAATGAGTAATGACCGAATATTCATATGTACAATTTATTACCACTATTTTTAATAGTTATAACTTAAAAGTTATAAGTAATTAATATTGTTAGGTATGTATTTATGTTATTAACTGTAGGTACATCTTTTTCAAATTATACCATATCTTCTGTAGGAAGTGTATTTCTAGTTCCTTTGCTTTTTTAATGATAATAGCTAAGCAATTAAAAAAAAAAAATGTAACGAGAAAGTAACGTAGTTACTTTTCTATTTGAAAAGTAAAGTAATTTCATTACAATTTTATTTGAGTAACGAGTAAAGTAACTTCATTACATTTCTCTCTAAGTAACGAGTAAAGTAACTTTATTACTTTTTAAAAGTAATTTACCCAACACTGAGTAATACAATATTATAGTCTCTATATTAAAAAACAGACACGAAATATTTATTTTAGAGTTTTGGTCGATCATACGTTCGATTTTGACGATAACATTACACTGACTTGTGCAGATCACAACTCGTTTACTTCGTACTCTCTGTCTGAGTTTCGAGGGATGAACTTTACTGCCATAAAAGTCGGAAAGTGAGTATATTCAATACTTTTTTTTATATCATAGCAAATGTTAATGTTTACAATATAATATAACCTTAGCACGTGTAATTAAATCTAAAATAGATATAATGTATTCTACAATGGAAAAATGTTGCCCACTCCAACTATGGACATAATACCAGCGACATTTTATACACTTACTTTACAACGAAATGGCGATAAAATGGTAACATTATAGGGTACTTGACCCGAGGATTTTAATTAATATCTTATGAACTACAAGTAAATGTAGGAAGTGCAATATAACTAAACTAACAAAAAAAAAAATATATATATATAGGATGTACGATTATTTACCAAAGACGAAGGAAACTATATTCACATTTTGTGGCAGCTTCCGCAATATTTATGCATGAGTATAGCCGACATCATTTTCATGGTCACCATAATAAAATTCGCATTTACTGAGGTAAAATCTTTTTTTTTAATTTAGCGATTTTAGTTAAAATAGATGCTTTATGGATTTTTTTTAAAATGAATAACAAGGAAACAAATTATTTTTGTGGATAATATATTATTCAGTAATATTCATATTTTTAAATATTATATTTATATGACATTTACCTATATGAATATATTTTCGATATATTTATAATTGCCATGCCTTAACATTTTACTTTTTTTCCCTAAAAATATAAAAACATACATGTAAAATACTAATACCATGCCTACACAATTGAATCCTGTAAAAACTATTAAATAATAGAGTTTAAATGCTTAACATTTATGTAAATCACAACTTATAATTCGTTTATATTTTATTCATAATATTGTAATTGATATTATGAAATGTTTCAATATAGGCCCCAAAAAGCATGAAGTCGTCCATAGCCGCTATTAGTGTATCGACAATGGCACTTGGAAATTTGTTGGTCGTTATCATTTCAACAATATCATTTAAAAATCAAGTATCTATCATTTTTTTTTTCAATAATTAAATGTTTACAGTACATTTAATATTACATCAATTTTGTTTGTGATTTAGGCACACGAATTTCTGATTTACTCTGGTCTTATGCTTGCGGACACGTTATTATTAGGTTACTTCAGTGTGGTTTATCGGAGTAAAAATACCGATAAAACTGACGCAATGACATCGAACGAACACAAAATGGAAGAAACTACTGTTGTCAAGTGAATGCTGTTTTAGTAACTGGCCATAAGACCAGACTCGAATAATTATACTTTGTAGCTCCAATAATTATGTTATATATAATAATAACATATAATTTACGTATATAGGAATTTTATTTGCATGATATTATATTTAGGTACTTAGTTATTTTATATTTAAAATTTAATCTTTTAATATATTTATGATAGTTGTTGAATATAAACAAGCAAAATAGCGGGCAAGATGGTAACGCTTTGATGTATGTTAGATGTCTAAAAGAGCCACTGTAATGGGTGTTACGTTTTTGAAATCTCAAAAACGTATATATATATAATATATATTATATAGATTTTGATTGTTTTATTCAATTAAATCGTTTGAATAATAGGATATACTTTAATAGTACCTACTGGGTTGTTGCAAGAGTGAATTTTTTTCACTCTGTATAGTGTAATTAGTTACCTATATTATTATTTATGGTATTTATGTGTACATTGATTAAATATTCTGAAGTATTACAAACTTTATATTAGAGTCATCGAGTAAACTGTTAGGCGTCCATTTAAATCGTCGGACTCCGCTAAAGCATGCTGATTAAGTTATGATAATATTTAAAATAATGTATTAATTAAGTTAAACTTTGAACTGTCGAGGTTAGTAAAGTTATAAACCAAATCTACATGAATTGAGAACAAAAAGTTTCTGACCATAAACACTGCCAGTTTCGAATAATAATGTCTACAGTTAAAAAAGTAAATGCAAATTAATGGTTGCTAAATTTAAAAATGTCTACATGATTTGTAAGTTATTACCTACTTATAATAATTATTAAAATTATCATTTATTCCAATGAAGTCGTAAGAACCACGGAATAATACAAAAAAGTACACCATGTCTATAATTTTATATAACAAAATCTATAATAATATAATATATTTATACCTATAGGAATATAATATTATAATTTAATTAATACATTATGATAACTGCTACCTACTTTTCATTTATTTTCTGTACACACTACACAATATGGGTCCTTATTTTACGATTTCTGATTTTTTCAGATTAAACCCCCCAAAGCTGTTTAAATAGTAATAGCAAGGAGTCTTGTAAAGTTCGGGAGTAATTGTAAATAATTAACACGTGTAATAAGAGCTTCAAAGATTGATTTACCTTGATTTTTCAAGAAATATACTATTTTTTTTATTTTTTTATCACAGCTCATAAAATACATATAGTCAATGTCATATAGGTTATAAAAAGCAGATTATTATTCGAGTACCTACCGGATTAATTACTATAGTTTGGTAGTAAACTAGTAAAAATTTTTTATAATATTAAAACATATATTTCATATTTTTAGTATGGTTCATACTACCAATGTACTCGATTCGATGAAAGTCTGTGTGAGATGTCCATTTTGACTTAGTACTGTGTCGCACGATAACTTCAATTTTCAAAAATTGGAAAGCTAGTGCTTTGATTACACTCTGAAATTTCGAATTGAATACCTACGCGATTGTAAGAATTGAGTGCTAAGAATCTGAATTTTTCGGATTGAATACCTACGCGATTGTAAAAATTGAGTGCTAAGATGCCTAAGAATCTGAATTTTTCGGTTGGGCAGTATAATAAATTTATTAAGTATTGGGGTCAGCAAATTTGTTGGTTTTTTCAGCACAACATGAATTCTGATCAAAAGGAAAAATCGGTGAGTTGTAAAATATAAGTACTATTACATTTAAATTTAAAAACCACAAACATTTTTCAAATATATGAATCTATAATCAACGGTTTTCGCTCTTTGTTTCAATCAATTTACACGAAATCGTTAATATACACATTATTCATTATTTGTCTTCCTATATTTAATTCACTCTTATTTTTCAGTTAATATCAGTTAATTTTAGATATTTAGTTGAAAAAAAAAAGAAAAACATTTACAACACTTCGCTACCATGTTCACGTTGGCCATATACACTGGATCGTTGATCTCGACGTGTTTGATGCCTGAGTTGAGACACAGTATACATTGTTTTGGAAGAGACACGTACTTTCCCCTGGCTTTCGGTGTTCTCAGCATTATAATGTTGACTTCTACAGGTATATACGTTGTTAAAGTTTATACTTATAATAGTTATCACAAATTCACAAATTATTCTCAATCACACAATTTCCACATAAAATACATCAATATTCTTACTACATAATATGTACTTACCTGAAATATAACTGCAGTATACCGTTTTACACGCCATAGTGATACTCGTTTGTGGAAAAAACATGTACGTGAAGAAAAAACCAGAAAATAACATCTTAACCAGAATATTCGGTTGTATTTTTGTAAGTTTCGTTTAATAATGTGGTACTTCAAACGACCAAAAACACTTTCTTCATTCTCAACATCATTCACTTGTTGTATTATTGCAATTTAAAATAGTTGTAAGACCTCCGTTCAGACGTACTTATAAAATATTTTTGATTTACTTTCTCCTGATTGGTTTTTTTAAAGGGAAACACAACTGAGATACCATCTGGCCAAGGGCGGATATATATCTATAACGGATTCGATTGCAATGTGTTCGTACAATCAAAGTCGTTACACGTACAACATCAAATCGGTCCACTCGATATGTTCAACGTCAGTCATACAGTCGCTACTCAGAATGTCTCAGGAGACGTCGGGGTCGTCGGAATCACAATAGGTTTCGAAACAAAGTGCAGTTTTGTGTCAGACAATTACGAGTTCAATACCACTCTAACAATAATCAAAGGAAAAGTAAATATTTCTATAAAATATACAATATTATTTAACAATAAATAAATATAAATGAATTTTATAATATTTGAGGGTAAAACTCCTACAACTATCACTATGAACTGGTTCATAAAATTCAACAAATTCGAACTGGGTAATCTCATAAATCAAAAACCAGATAATTCATTATATTATTTTCCTTTTAAATTAGGGTTTGGAATTCAACCGGAATTGATGTTGTGTCATCTAAATATCGAAGTATATTACACACTACTTAATTTGTAACATCTTTCTTTTTCTAAGTTACGGAGGTGAAAAAGGTTGAAACTAGAACTTAAAAAAAAAACTATACTTCAACTATTTCTTGAAGTATATTTGATACATCATCTTATAGGTACCTTGAAAAAAAGTATAAACAAGCTACAATTACTGTTTACTAATAAAATAGTATTTTCTTGTTTTCTATTTCATCATACATTTGTGAGATTTCGAAATAAAACAGTTTTAATGATCTTATTGTTTTCTAATCCTTTTAGGAGATTTCTTATCATTTGACCCGATTAAATCCAAACATAATTGCATTAAATCGTGTTGGTATTCATGACAATTTAGTCAAAGAAAAGTTTGGGAACCCAAATTTAAGGTTAGTATCTATTTGTAGCTTTCAATAGTTTTAAATTTCTAATATTAAAAATTGGAAACAACATTTTTCTTTTAGAATTTTGGTCGATCACACTTTTGATTATAACGATAATATTACATTGGCCGATGTAGATCACAACTCGTTTACTTCATACTCTCTATCATTGTTCCGAGGGATGAACTTTAATGCCATAAAGACTGGGAAGTGAGTACAAAATAATTTTATATTATTACAATTATAAATATTAACAAATAGTTTATTACTAACATGAATAGATATAATGTATTTTATAACGGAATTATGTTGCCCACTCCAACTATGGACATAATACCAGCAGCGTTTTACACAATTACATTACAACGAAATGGTAACTTTATAGGGAACTTATTCTGCGGGTTGTAAATAATATCTACTGATCTACAATCGAATTGAGTATGTTTAATTTAACTAACAAGAATCAAATGTTTATAGGATGTACGCTTATTTACCAAAGATGAAGGAAACTATATTCACATATTATGGCAACTTCCACAATATTTGTGCATGAGTATAGCTGACGTCTTATTCACGGCCACCATAATAAAATTCGCATTTACTGAAGTATGTTTCTTAAATTGAGTTCTATTAATTGGTTTGTACATTTTTTATCAAGTTAACTTCTATATCAAGGGTGGTAAATAATTATTCTGACACTGAGCACGCCATTGAATTATGAAATGAGGTATAGGTACATAAAAACTGAGGTACATATTTTGAGCATACGGCTATTTCTAGGTCAATAACGATTATTACATTTTATCTATAGATAATAATGTTATTTATTGTGAAGTTTTTTATTATTAAAAATAAAATAATATACATAAATATTTTAATTTTCAGAGAGCATTTAAAACTTTTTTGTGTGCGATGCATTTGCTTACCTGTATAATATATATTATATATTATATAATCTTTACCAATATATATACTATTAGATTCATCTATTAAAATAATATTTTTATGAATTGATTTATGATATTGTTATTTCTTATTCAATATAGGCCCCAATAAGCATGAAGTCGTTCCTAGCCTCCATTAATTTATTGGCAGGTGCACTTGGAAATTTGTTGGTCGTTATCATTTCAAACATGACGTCTAAAAATCAGGTATTTTCCTATTATTTATTATAATTTATTAATTCAATATTTATAGTTAATTTAATATTATATCGCATTTGTTTGTGATTTAGGCACACGAATTTTTACTATACTCGGGTCTTATGCTTGCTGACACTTTTTATTGGGTTACTTCAGTGTAGTTTATCGGAGTAAAAATTCCAATACATCCGAAGAAATGACACAGAACGAGAACAAAATTGATGAAACTATTGTTTTCGACTGAATACAGAACAATTGGACTAAACTGGCAACAAGACCAAAATCGAAGAATTTTATTATTTTTTGTAGATCTAACTATATGTCTATATGTTATAATAATATATAATTTACTTATTTTTTATTTCCGTAAACGTGATATATTATGACACAGTTGTCAATATTTAAAATTTTTCTCGTACCTAATACATTTATTGTCATTGATCAATGTGATTACGGGCAATGTGTACCTATATACGACGATAAGACTTATCGTATAAGACTTACCTATACTTACTATAGGCTGAGTAATTATTTTATTTTTTATTTTGAGCGTAGTTAGAAAATTGTAGGTGCTTTTGAGAAGTCAAAATTGAAAATTTTCACTACTTATCAAGAACATCGGGAAAAAAAATTAATAAGAATAAACAGAATTTTTACTCAAAACTAGTTTTGTTTTATTGGTGTAACTCAAAAACAAATAAACATAGGTACTTGATATTTTCAAAAATGTCCCCAGTCATCATAATAACTCATTATTTAACGTTTATTGATAATTACTAATTAGTTGATCGATTTGATGTATTCTATAATTGTATAATTTTTTCTGTAGTCTGCAAAGTCCCTTCTCTCCGATATTATACAATATTATGATATGAATTACTCTTTTTTGTCTACCAAGGCGTAAAAATAATAAAATTAACAAATAATATCAAATAACGATTCATTATTTCTATCATAAGTCTTTAGGATTTTTGTTCGTAGCCATCTCAAATTTTAACATGACATCGGACTGCGATATTATACTGACCTTTAAATTGTTCACTCTTTATTTTCACTTTCATTTTACACGCTCAATAAGACAACATCAGTGTATTTCCTGAAAAGTTCTGTATTTTTCATCTTGCATTTTAAATAAATTAATAAAGGACTAACGGCAATCTGAAAACACAAAAGGTGGAAAACCCGATCATCTCTTCGTGTTGAGTCAGTGTAAATGTACGACCACGTAAAATATGTATGGTGATAAACCAATCAATTTTCAATGACTGAAATTTTTTATTACATGAGTGAATTACAAAATACAATATATACTATTACAAAGCTTAAATTCAATAATATTCTTTATCACAGTGCAATGAACACTACACAGTCATATATTTATATACCAATCTCCTATAATAAAAACCTTTAACATTTTTTTTTACACTTGTCTAGAGGTATTTTTCGATATGACGATCGAGTTCCATAGGACATAGGTAGGGTGAACATATCAATTACATAGGTATTCACAACTTATATCAATGGTCTATAATTACGCTTAATTCGCCTTTTCTACAGTGGGAAATTAATGAGGAATTTTTAATGCCATTAAAACATGTAGAGAAGAGAGTACCCAAAAGGCCAATTTATACCCTCATGCAAATAATTATTTATTATTTAATTAGATTAAATTTAAAAACAAATGAATATATAAACACAGACAATAAAATCTAAAATAGACAGTTTTATTAAGTATCCGTATATTTGTATTTAAATACTAGCACGACAACAATAGAGATAACTATTCCAGCCAGGTTTTATACATTTACATTACAAACGATAAAATTGTCAACTTAATAGAGTAGGTACTTGAACGGCGAATCATATTTAATTTCTGTTTAAATATATTATCTTACTTACAGATGACGTAGGAGACTATATTCACGCAGACATATTATTATACTGGAGTATATGGGTATCTTCTATATATAGAAAAATGGAGCAGTATGCAGTATGTTACATGAGATCGGTAAAAATCACTTTATTTTAGAACACCTTCATTTATTCGTTAGCGATAACGGGCCTTATCAGTGATTTTAAGCTCATATCCATCAGACGATCGGGTTTTAGTTATGATTGAAACTACGATGTTCCGATGCATTCAATGCGCTGAATTTCAGAACGCTATAGTTTGAAAATACGATGCATTTTAGAACATGTTTTATCGGTTACCTGTATTTTTCCCGAATCAAAATTCCCGAATTTCGATTCGGGAAAAACGGCGGGTACCTGTTTTATCATTTCGATGTCAATACGTATATACAGCGTTGCATTACCGAAGGCGCAATTATATAAATAGGTAATATTATGGTTGTTACCATTACCCACAATTTTTTGAACCACAAATCAATTATTATGATTACAATAAAATATAACAGTTGGCAGATTTTATTGTAACACAATTTTTTATTTGGCCACACTGTAAATTACTATTTTTTTTCTTTTCTCGCTCACTCTATATATCGTACCCCTGATTTCTCTGAGTCCATTAGCTTGTAGGTCTATAGGAACGATGAATGCAGTCGATGAAATTGCATCCCTGGCCCCAACTTAGCCTGGCCTCTCATGTACAATTGGAAAAATAATTTAAATCAACTGCTTATAAGAACTATTAGTTAGTATAGTGGGTCTGAAAAAAACGTCATTAATAATTTTTCATTATTTATAGTTATTATCATTAAATATAATAAATTAATAAACATTAAACAATCAAATTTAAACAGTAATACATTTTTTATTAACAATTAATTCTCCATATTTTTATTTAACTGTACTTTTCTTCGTTGGATAATTTAGCTAAAGATATTTTGACCTAAATTCTTAACACTTTACTGGGTAATAAAAAAGATTATTTCGAGTACCAGATTAATAACTATAATTTGGAATTAAAAAAAAATAAGATATCAAAAAATGTGTTTCGTACAAAATGTTAAGTTTCATACGCACAATGTTCATTGCTCGATGAAACTTGTGTATGAGTTGTACAATTTTACTTGGTCCGGCATCGTTTGATATCTTCAATTTCCCAATTTAAAAGATGCAAACAAATGCTTTGATAACATACCGCAAATTTGTCAGAGTTAATACGTGATTGGAATAACTACAAAGTTTCGGAACGTTAATATTATTGTACTAGCACATCCATTGAGGGCCAAACATATAAATTTTTTAGGTATGGCAGTACATTATTTAATAATTTCGTTGTTTGATCAGCATATTTGTATGTTTTTTTTTCCGGACAACATGGAATTGATATCTGATCAAAAGGAAAAATCGGTGAGTTGTTAAATAAAAATACTTTTATTTAATTTAAAAATCCGCAAACATTGAAATTGTATGAATCTATTATAAAACTTTTCTACTTTTAACTTAAATCAATTTGGGTAAATGTAAATTACACCAATTTCAAGTAGACAATTTTAGAGCCAGATTTATAATTTTTAGTTTAAATCAATTAATTACGTGTTGTTATCTAGTTAAAAAAAAATATTTTATTACGTAAATTATAATCGGCAATGCCTTCAACAATATTAGGTGGGGTGCATGTAAATTAGATTACTACTTGACGTTATCTAATTTAAATAAAATATTATGTTATGTAAATTATATAAGGCAATGTCTTAAAAAATATTAGGTTAGGTGCATGCAATTTAAACATATTTAAGGTACCTAGACAATTTATTTGTCATTTGGACACTAGGTAGGTAGTTAAATAAGTGAGTTGGTAATCGATATATTATTTATACCGAGGATATCCTAATAAAAGTGTTTTAGTGTAATGTGCAAATATTACTTATCAATTTATCATGTCCCGTATAGATCAAAATCAAATTTGATTTGCTCGATTTAGACGGTTTTTGACATAAAAGGTGATTAAGGTGTTTCTCAATAATGATCATCGACGATTTTCATATGAATAATTATGTATACCAATATACTTTACTCCTACACAGAACACTGAATCTACATATTTTTCCAAAAAAAATTATTTGTTTTTTAGATAATCCCCAAATCTACATGGTTTATAGTAATCAGTGAATTTTTTGAACAATTTGCCTATTTTGGTTTGAAAGGTGAGTCAATAGAGTGGGTTACGGCAGTTAAAGATATAAAATGTTGTGAATTTCATAATTTATTTATTATCTGTTTAGCTGTTTTGATTTTGTGCCTGACAAGAATATTGAAGTTCAACGGAGACGAGTCAACAATAATATATCACAGTTTCATATTTCTATCGTTCTTCGTGCCATTGCCGTGTGCGATCTTGGCAGACTCTTATTGGGGAAAATTCAAGTATGTTGTGCACATTTGGTTTCGAATTTAATCTCCACTAATAACGGAGAATAGCGTATCTTATCTAAATTTTTAAAATTATCTGGTTTTTGTAACTTTTAATTTTCAGAACAATAATATGTATGTCATTTTTCTACGTATTGGGATGCGTAATGCTCACCGGTGCATCAATTGCAGATATTATCAGCCTGGACGTTCAAAAGTATATCAATATTTATTTTGCAGAAAATTATATGATTAATTTCCAAAACGCAATCATTTATTACACACGATTTGTTTGTATCGATAGGTTCCATCATATATTTCTTCCTTAAAAAGTTTCCAACAAAACTTAAACCACATTTCTATGGGTGATTTCAATTAAACTTTGACTACATATGAAATCCATGCAACCGATTACCATGAATTTACATCAGTTAACTTCGCATTGACTTCATCAATAATAATCAGCACATACTATTATAATACTTATAGGGACAAATTGAACTAGCCGTTTGGACGTAGCTATTTTGATGTGTGGACAATAAGACGTAAATAAAATATCAATAAATATATATGTAGTAAATATTGTTAAAATACAATATCAAAAACAGTTAGTCGTATTATTTATATTTACTATACTACAAATTTGTCTGATGTCAAGTAAAAATTATGAAATTCGGAAGTACGTAATATCAAATTATAAACAGTAAAGTACGGTTGATACCAATATACCATTATAGTTAAAGACATTAAATATTGAACATTAACATTGATTTTATAGTTTATATTATATTATAAACCAGAAATAAAATATAATTTTTAAGTAGAATCACCCAAAATATTTAATTTAATTCCAATTAATAAAATTATTAATTTTTTAATTTTTCTTTAAATATTTGTATAGGTACTGATCTGTTTTGTGTATTATAGTAAATAATTATTTGTTTATATTGTGTTTAATTTTTTTTCTACTGATATTTTTATTGATTGATTTATTATTATTAACTATTTTTTTTGCGTCCAATTGTCCTCTCGCCCAATCTGCCACGTCTATTTGTCCTAGATCTGCAAACTTTTTTAATGGGGAGGCCACAAAGCTTAAGAAATTCTAGAAGAGGGCCAGAATTATAGGAAAAATGCATTTTGTGTTAAAGCTTTTCATCATAATATTATAAAAACATTACAGCATTACACACAAATGTTAAAAATTACCTTTTACCTTAAATAATAATTAAAACCTCTGAGACCCTAATTTGGGGGCCATATACAATCCATGTCGACGGACCCTCGACGGGCAGTATTAAATACTTTCGCGGGCCGTACTTTGCCCATCACTGTTCTAGATCGTTTATAATAAAGTGTTAGGTACTTATTTGCAACCACCCCACCTCTTGCATGAAACTAAACTTTGACAGTCTTCAATAAAATATTTGATAATAATATGCATTATCGATATTCCCATATATCTCGATATCTTATTCTGATTCTTACACCTAAGTATACGATCTAGTACGTCAAGATCTAGATCCCAAATCGCCATCCCACATTTGCATCATTATTATTTTTTTTTAGAATCTTCACACTCCTCGGGTTATTTTTTATATCCGTCGGTATAAGTGGCATAAAACCGTGTATTTTTGCGTTTGGTGGAGAGCAATTTCAATTACCATATCAAGAAAAGCAGCTACAACACTTTACTACCAACTACACATTGGCGATATACATTGGATCATTATTATCAAAGTTTTTGATGCCTGAATTCAGACAAAGCATACATTGTTTTGGCAAAGACACGTGTTTTCCGTTGGCTTTTGGTGTGCCGACCATAATGGTGTTCATTTCCATTGGTATAATATACCATTGATTTTACTAGTAGTTATTATGGTTGTAAAATAGCCATATTAACAAAACTCTCCCCCTCCACCCTGAAAATAGTATGATCACAAGTTATTACCAATAACACAATTTCATATAATATCCATTGCCCAACATAGTTATGCATGATACAACTGAAGTTTATTGTTTTACATTTCACAGCGATATTCGTAGCTGGAAAAAGCATGTACGTGAAGAAAAAGCCAGAACAGAAAGTGATAACAAGGACGTTTGGCTGTATTTTTGTAAGAACCGTTCAATCTAGTTTTTTGAAGTACCTATCAATATTATTTGCATGCTATATATTTTGGATTTTAAGTACGCAGTGCGAAAGAAGTTTACTTCAGCCGTTCCAAGAAAAACTCACTGGTTGGATAACGCAAAGGAAATGTACACAGAATCAGAGATATCAGACACAAAGTCTGTTCTAGACCTTATCTGCGTATTCACGACAAATCCTGTGTTTTGGTCACTTTTCACACAATCGGTACAGTACCTATCTATTTTATTGATAAGATAAATTTAGCAAGGATAAGTGGATTTCAGTATTGGGTATCTGCCACCTGGAGGCTGAACGAATCATACATTTCTATACACCCCAAATGGAATTGTATATGGTTCATTTAAATAGTAATCTAGGTGTGGACCAATACACTTTGGACAATACGAAAATAAAAAAACCATATAATATGTAAGGACTAAGGCTGTATAAGATCAGTTTCATTTTCTTAAGTTTTCTGCAGGGTTCAAGTTGGACGTTACAAGCCACGCTGATGAATGGTGACGTGGACTTCTTAAACTGGACAATTAAACCCGATCAAATCCAGTTACTAGTACCGTTAATTGGAATAACCGTTCTCGTATTTTTTAATGACTTTTTGTATCCAATGTTTGCGGCGATAGGCATCCGGAAACCATTACAAAAGCTCACCTTTTGCGGTGTCCTGGCGGTCATAGCATTTGTGTTTGCGGCGCTACTGCAATTTAAAATAGTTGTAAGACCTCTGTTCAGACGTAGGTATAACATTTTTTTGGATTACTTTCTCCCGATTGGTTTTTTAAAGGGCAAAACAACTGAGATACCATCTGGCCAAGGAAGGATATCCATCTATAACGGATTCGATTGCAACGTGTTCGTACAGTCAAAGTCGTTACACGTACAACATCAAATCGGTCCACTCGATATGTTCAACGTCAGTCATACGATCGTGTCTCAGAATGTCTTAGGAGACATCGCTGTCGTCGGGATTACAATAGGTTTTGAAACAAAGTGTAGTTTTGTGTCAGATAACTACGAGCTCAATACCACTCTATCAATAATCGAAGGAAAAGTAAATATTTCGATTCTCTTATATATACTGATACTGTACGCTAGTCGGAGTCCAGCACAATAGTACTGGCACCGAAGCTAAATATCTGCAACCATACCGACCGCCAACTCGGGTTAAGATGACGCGACACAGTCGACTTTCCCACCACTAAGTCGGGACGGGAAGATAAGTCGCGTCGGGCGTCAGTACAGTATTACTTAACAAGTTATGAATATGAATCAGTATTATAATATTTTGATAGTCAAAAACCAAAAATAATAAGAGAATAAAGAGAGAGAGAGAGAGAGAGAGAGTAGATAATTCACTACTTATGTTGTTAACTCTTTATATAAGCCGTCATTGACATTGTGTCAGCCATATTTCTAAGTAAATTTTACACTAATTTCTAATTATTTTTTTTTGTTTTTGTAAGTAATAGACAATATTAAATAAAACATTTTGCGAAATCAAAAAATGTATTTGTATCATATGGTTTTTTGAATCCTATTAGGAGATTTCTTATCACTTGATCCGTCTAAATTCAAACACGATTGCACTAAACCGTGTTGGCGCTCATGATAGTTTAATAAAAGAGAAGTTTGGGAACCCAAAGTTAAGGTTAGTATCTTAATACTGTATTTAATTATACAATGCAGTTTCTATATTAAAAACATAATAATAATTTTAGAATTTTGGTCGATCATACTTTTGGTTTTGACGATGATATTATACTCACCAGTGCAGATCACACCTCATTTACTTCGTATCCTCTCACTCGGTTTCGAGGGATGAGCTATAATACCATAAAAATAGGAAAGTGAGTATCCAATATTGTTTTATAATTTACATCATTACAATGATTAATTTTTACAAATAATATAACATTAACTCGTGTAATCAAATTTAAAATAGATATAAAGTATTCTACAACGGAACAATGTTGCCACACCAACTATGAACATAATTCCAGGCACGTTTTATACACTTACATTACAACGAAATGGTGATAAAATGGTAACATTATAGAGTGCTTGACCTGCTGTCTTAAAATATCTCTAGTGAACTACAAACTAAATTAGTAGGTACAATGTAACTAACAAGATACAAATGTCTATAGGATGTAAGATTATTTACCAAAGACGAAGGAAATTATATTCACGTTTTGTGGCAACTTCCGCAATATTTTATTATGAGTATAGCCGATATTGTATTCGTGACAACTGAAATGAAATTCATATTTACTGAGGTATTTTTTTTTTAATTTAGTAATTTTAATTATATTTTTAGAGATTTATAATTTTTTTTTTTATATTCAACTAAACATTATTAGTATCCTTATCAATACATATGTCGTAGGCCATTTGGGAAATTAGTTTTTTTGTGATAAGACTATGCTCTTTGAAATGGGGTAGCCTGTTTGTGAACTAATTATTATTTTTCCAAACGGCCTGCTGTTTTTCAGGCTTATTGCATACGGACTAACAGCATTTAGGACTTTTAAGAACTACAATATTTATAATATGTTAATAACCATTTTGCTTATTTTCCGACAAGCGCATGTATTTGTTTTGCACGGTGTTTTGCAAAAGCATGTGTAACATGTAAGCTGAGTAAGTATAATAGGGTAATTTTTTAATTGTACAAAAAATAAATAAATAAAAACTGCAATAGAATTATTATAACATGTAAAATTATTAAATTTAATCAATGGCGAGTAGCAGTGAAGTTTATTTTAAAGTTTTATGTAACATGTAAACTGAATTATTATTAGTATTACAATTATTACAATTCTTTTTTTTTGTACAGTTAATAAATTAACAAGTTAATAAAATGAATAAACTTATTCAGTATACATGTAACATAATATGCAAGGCACGGTGCAAAACAAATAGATGCGCTTATCTCAAAATAAGTAAAATTGTCATTATCATATTATAATTTATTATTGTAGTTCATAAAAGGCCTAAATGCTGTTAGTCCGTATGCAATAAGCATGAAAAACAGCACCCATTTAGGAAAAATAATAATTAGTTGGCAAACGGGATCAGTAGCGTATCCAGAATTTTTTTTCGGGAGGGGTTATAATTTATTTTTGTGGAATTTTATCTTAAAATGATTTATTAATGATAACGTTGTTATAATTTAACAATTTTCGGGGGGGGTTACAACCTCCTAACCCCCCCTCTGGATACGCCACTGAACGGGATACCCCATTGCAAACAGCCTAGTCTTTTCGCAAAAATACAAATTTTCCAAATGGCCTATGACGTATATATAATCTAATAATATTCATCTATTTAAAATTCAAATAGTATTTGTATAGTGCATTTATTATATGTTAAGATTTTTGATAAATTGTATTACTAATTGCCACGCCTTAACAAACTCATTTATTTTTTATGTTGCTAAAAAATTAAACAAAATATATTATGTAGATTGTAACTGTCACATCTTGATATACATTTAGATGTTGTGATAAATATTAAATACTATACATGTTAAAAGTTTAACATATTTATAAGTACAAAATGCATAAATTGTTTATCATTTATATAATATTATACTGTGATTCCTTATTCAATATAGGCCCCAATAAGTATGAAGTCGTTCATAGCCTCTTTTAAATTATTGACAATTGCACTTGGAAGTTTATTGGTCATTGTCATTTCAAGCATGTCGTTCAAAAATCAGGTATCTATTAATTATTTTGTTTTAATAATGAAATTTGTATAGTTAATTTATTATTATATCGCTTTTGTTTGTGATTTAGGCACACGAATTTCTACTATATTCTGGTCTTATGGTTGCTGACACGTTATTATTAGGTTACTTCAGTGTGGTTTATCGGAGTAAAAATACCAATATAACTGACGCAATGACACCGAATGAGAACAAAATAGAAGAAACTACTGTTGTCAACTAAATATTGTTTTATTCGACTAAACTGGCAACAAGGCCGGATTTGAAAAATTATTCATCGTAGTTCAAACTATGTTATAATAATGTATAATTTACGTAGGTATATTGAAATTGTGTACACAAGATTATATTATATACCTACCCAGACATAGTTATTTTATATTAAACTTTAATCTTGAATAATGTAGGTAGCAATAATTGTAATAATTGTTATCAAAATGTAATTTAATACCAATAATTAAATTGTATTCGTTATGTCAAATATCTTGAAAATTCAATACAAGGCGCGCTTAATTATTGTTACAATAACAGTTGAAAAATATTAAAAATACATTATCACCATTTTTTTTTTAAGCATTTAAAGTTTGAATTTTGACTTTAAATTATACAAGTATTTTAGGGGTAGGAGGTAAAATAGGCGGAATATAAGCGGAAAAACATTTTTATACGTTATAAATTTGGAACAGGGAGGTATACATGCAGCCACTAATAAAAGTTTTGTCATCTATCTGTAAATGTACAAAAACAGCTTCAATATTATTGATAGAAGTATTTAACATTTTACACTTAATTGAATTTTTTACCGCAATTGAGACGCCCCCGCCATGGTTACTGTTTAGCGGCGACCTATCACAACGAACAATTATAAAATTAACAAAGTGCAATTCAGAGTTACATATAACAGGTGAAAGCTATATTTCAGTAAATGTAATTAAATCAAAAAGAGAGGTATTTAGTGAGGGAATTAAAGTGCTTATTTTAGAGACCATGCTACTAACATTTTGATAGTAGAGTAGCAGGGTTGAGTTGGTGACTAGTTTTTTTGAACCGCAGAGGAGATGATAGTTGTTTGACCCTTATAGTATTTTATTGTCAGATTTGGCTCACCTTTTGATATTCGAACACTTAATTGGTTGCGTAGATCACGAAGAAATTCTCGCTGATAAGGTGACTTATCACTCGTGAGTCTAATATCTTTAAAATTTTGATCAGATTTCAGGTTACGTGATAACCCGAGAATTTTGAATACTTCGGAGGCCGCTTGCAGTTCAATTTTCAGTGGACGAGACTTGTTATTAGGTTTGGCTAGACGACTAATTTTTATTGGTTTAATGTCCGTTCCGAGTTTATTAAAAATGCGTGTTATTGAATCAGTATCAGTGGTATTATTGTGGCTAGATTGTTCATGCACATTAAAAATGATAATATTTTTAGAATGATTTTGACGGTCGATAAATTCAGAAACATCTCATGATTATTGTTGGACTTTGGAGCAGCTGATTCCAACAGATCGACACGGTTTTTGATAGCTGTCAAATCATTACGTAGCACACTATTTGATTCATTTTTGATACTTGATAATTGAGATAAGATTTCGTGGAATTTATTGTTGAAAGAATTAAGTTTTTTCATTTTGCACACTGACCAGATCAATAAGTTTGGTTAGCTCTTCGCGTAAGTTAACGATATGGCTGATAATTAATTTCAAGTCGGGTTCAGTAGTAGAGAGTGAAGTAAGAGGTTGAATAGAGCGTAGAATTAAACTCATTAGAATTAATGCGACAGTTAGTATTATAATATATAACTTATATTATAATATTATGTCTTTCTGTTCACTGAAATTTAAAATTCGTTAATGGTCTCCGACGAATGTCAACGATTGCCTAGATACGTGTTAAATGTATCAACTGTTTTTTTTTATAATAGTTATTATTATTATAGCTTAAAACCGATAGCAACCATTTATAAGCAAAAATTTCCATCTGAAATCTCAAAATTCCCGTTTGAGCACCTCCCGGGGTTGTTCCTCTCCCTTTTTAAATTAGCCTATGTTTTAAGTTGGGACCAAAATACACACAGTGTAAAAATGTCATCAAGGTCGGTCCAGTGGTTCTTAAGCGAAACAGTAACAAAGTCACAAACTTTCGCCTTTATAATATTAGTAGGATATACAGGGTGGGCCACTTGAATAGGGACAAAAATAGACGGATTTTTCTCAACGATGAATGTGAGTAGGAAGGTCTAAGATAATGTGTTATAACTGTCCCAATGTTTGGACAATACCATACCTATATTATAATTAAAAATATTAGAGATAAACTCAGATTCTATTAAATTAGCACAATTATTAATTATTATTTAATATTTAGGTTATTTATACACACAAAAAACCAATTAGTTAACACTTGCGGCATTATAATATACAAATATGATTTATAAGATTTGTTTTCAGTGCTCTTGATGTCCCATAATATTTTGATGAAAATATACTACAGCAGTTAATCATATTATTGTGTCATCAATTTGTTTACTAAGTTTGTAGGTTTGCAAAAAAAAGAGTGTTCATCCACTAATAATTTCATGAGTGTATAAAAAAAGATATCTGACAAAATTCATTAAAATCAAGAAAATTTGAAAATTATTTTGAGTTTAAAATTCAAAAAGTTTTATAATTATATCTAAAATTTAAAATTTTATACAAGATATTTAAGATTTGTAGGAATGATTTTTTATCATTAATCATTTAAAGTTCAAATTTTGACAAAATGTCGAAAATTGCAAATTATTTTTTAGTTAAAAATGTATAAAATTACAGCTAATTATTGAAAAAAAAAATTATATTTAAGTTATTCATTTTATTATTAGTAATACAATAGCTATAGGTTGAATTAATGTATATATATATAATAAACCTCCCTGGTTGGTCATCTCCCTTTTTAAATTTGCCTATCATCTGCCTAACCTAACCTAACCCAGAGGTCTAATCTATCTCTGTATGACTGTACCAAATTTTATCAACATTAAACATTCAGCCGTTTAGGAATGTATAAAGGATACACACACAGACACACATTCATTTTTATATATATAGATAATAATATAAATCCATAGGTTGATATTTTCAACTTGATATGTATAATACTATACAAGTAATTATAACTTACTTACCTATTTTAATGCATTTTTTTTTTTTATTATATATTTACAGTCTGTGCTCGACAGCACAATAGGTAAATTTGATAATTTATATGCAATAATTTCAACTTGAATAATATGAAGAGGGAGGCCAACCCGTGATGGAACCCAACGTGAAATTATTTTAGGTTAGTAAATCTTTTTAGTATGTTTAAAGTTAATTGATATATTACAAATGTCTATAAACTTAAATTTTAATTTAATTGAAAAAAAAAAATACTTACCTTAACTTAAGTGAGTTAAAAAATATCATTAATTTACCCAGCCTTGCAGTAATAACTATAGATATGTACTTACTTCACCAAGCGTATTGTCCGAAAATATAGTTAATACTACTGGAACTTATACTTATATTATCGACACATTATCATGAAGCTGATATTTTGTAAATATTTACTTTTTTTTGCACTGCTGCTGCCCTGATTTGAACGTGTGCCAAGTCATTGTAGTGATCTGAATCTTGTGAGCTAAAATTAAAATAATTTTCAGTCAATCATATACAATATGTGAAACGTGAAAATAAATTATACCTATAATTTATTAACTGATGAGCTGAAATTAAAATAATGTCCTCGTCAAAATATCTTCGTGAAATATCTATTTTTTATGGATTGCCAGATCTTATTGGCACTATCTACAAAATTAAAAAACATGACTTCCTATAGTTTTCAAAAAAAATGTGATAGTATTAACTAGTAAAGTATTGTTATTAAGTAAACACTAGGTAGAGTTGTTAAAAATATTGATGATTGTTATTTGTTATTGTATCCACTATTACACATTTTAGTACCTATTATTTGCAAAAGTGAATTTAGATTGTTAGTTGTAGTAAGAATGAAACATTCAAGGGATCAAGTAAATATTTTTTAAAAAGTTACGGTTCAAGTTATAATTTTTAAATTTAAATATATTTGATTAAGTTTACTTTTGTTGACTCCATTTCTGTCCACATTCGTTTTCCGGACAAGCAAAGGAATAATTTTTTTTTTTAATGATGTAGGTCATAATTGCCCTATCTTCCGGTATGCTGTATGGCAACCTCGTATTTCATAAAAATTATTTAAACATTAAATATAAAATGTTGTACCTGTTAAATAAATTGTAAATATTTACTTTTTTTGCCCTGCCCTGCTGCTGCCATGACTTGACGTGTGCCAAGTATTATAAATATTAAATATATTATGAATATTTATAATAATTAATTAATACTTAGCACTCCAGAGTCTGCATATATTGTCCAATTATTAGACTCCAATATCTAGATGAGTACTTACTTCACCGATCGTATTTTCCGAAAATATCGGTAATACTACAGGAACTTCATTACATATTATATCTTGATGTTAAGCGTGTGATTCACTTTCCTTATCGGACGAGTCGTCACTATAATGCTGATTATCGAGTATCGACACATTATCACGATGCTGGTGTGTCGTATGTTACAATAATAAACTAATTCGTCAAAGATATGGATATTTACTTTACAAAGAGCCTGTGATTTGCTTTTCTTGGTATCTGCATCGAACAAATCTTCTACAACGTAGAACATGATTATAATACAATATTACATAATATAGGTATACAATATACATATTCAAATATATATTTTTTTTATCGAGCTTGAGCCCTGCAGCTTTAGGTCATTAGCTATTTTTTGTTTGTAGGTTTTTGTTGGTAGGGGGGAGCACCTGAGGGTTTGTTTTTGGAAGAATTTTTGATTTGGGCACCCTTAGGTATCTGCAATGCCTGGGTGGGGGATGGTGGCACTTGCTCTCCGGACCCCGTGAATTGCCCGAAGAAAAATGCCGCCCGCGTCTGAGGTATCGAACCATCGCCGGTGCGCGTACCAACCGACGCCTTAGTCCACTCGGCCACTCTGTCCCCCTTATATATGTATTATACTTTATTATTTATGTATACAATCGCAACTCCAAAGATTTTACGCACTGTATACTAAGTGGCGCCCCTCCCAATAAATTAATCCGTGTTGTACTATTCTATTTAAAAAAAATAAGTTTAGAGCTAATATCGAACGTATTATATTATATCGGTATATTTCGTTATTATTCAGGGGTCAACATGCAGAGTTACCAGTTACTAGATATTCTATAGGTATGAAATTAATTCCGGACTATAATATATTAGAGAATTTCACATTATCTGAGCAATAAAAAATGTAGGTAAGGAACAGTGAAAAAGTATTTAGTATACTGTCTATACTATACTTACTAATTATGGTAATGTTAAACTTTTTTGGAATTTTTCTGATTTTTTTGTCACCATTATCATCCAAAAAAGCTCTTTTTCTTCTATTATACATGTCAGAAGATACAAGCGTCTTAGAAATTCCAAGATCAACCGTTGTATTTTACTTATATAAATGCGACTAAATCGATTTAGATATTTATAAACGGTTACAATAACGATTCTGTTATTAGGATTTTCTGAATGGTACCCAACTATTTTAATATTATATTTTACGTAAAAACAAAGTGCCATATTATGGTTGTCGCCTTGGTTGCGCGTTAGTGTTTTTTTCATTTTCAGCCATCAAAAATATAAACCGTTTTGATCGTATTTTTATTATTTCACAGATAATTGTTTAAACTTAGTATCTTTATATTAATTACTACATGCAAAAATATCTGTAATTTACTTATTTACCCAATTGCATTTTTAATGTTGCCATACAATATTTTCTCCACTCAGTGTGCAAAGTCATATTCCATAGATATTTAAGCGATGTTTCATTGTAACATACCTAATACGATGGTTATTCTTTTTTAAATTGCAACAAAATCGTTTTTGTCGAATACTGTGATTTCCGTAAAATGTTGTTGAAAACCTATAGCTCACCGACCCTGTCTTATTTTATCTACATTATTATTATATTGTATTATTTTATATTATAATTATTGTGAGTGCCAATATACTCGCATCGCAACGAGGCGTATACATCGGGATGACAAGTGCATATATTCGGCTACGTGTTCCAGCTATACCTAATATTATTATTACTTTAATCGTCAGCAAAGAGATGTATTAATTATCGGAATGACAAGTGCGTATATTCGGCTACGTGTTCCAGCTTAAATAATAATAATATTATTATTATTATTAATTATTATTATAATCAACATAATATGTGGACGTCTCGTTGCGTTTTGTCGATAGCATTTTATTTAATTATTATTGTTGTTACCATTGACTGCTGGTGATAAAAACAATAATTTATTGTCTAGTTTTTGATGTTCAGAACCCCGTTTTAAATGATAGATACAACTAGAAATTTAGAAAGCAACTTGCAATTTTTGATATACACTTTTTTTCAGTTCTATTGTTAAATAATATTGATGCGCATATGATGTACTCCCTAAATGACCAATGGGACTTCTTTTTCCTAATTCTCAAAAATACATTACAATAACTTAAAATTTAAAAATTTAAAACTTTAAAATTTCAAAATTTTAAAATTCATCAAAAAAATAAAAGATTATAATGGTGCAAAAAAAAAATCAAATTTTTATTACCATTTTTCTACAAAGGGTTAAAAGTTAAATTTAAATATCATAGGTACCATAATTTTAAGTATTTGTTATAGACAGGTTATTGACTGCTGCAGGTTATGTACAAGGAGTGTAGTAGAGTAAAAACATAGATTTAATAATAATGACATAATTAAAATATTTTTGGTTGTTGCTAATTTTATCAAATTTTCGTAAAGTCGCCTCAGTGTACTTTCCTGTTCCACAGCGATAACGATCGGTTCTGTTTCGTTTTTTATTGTTATTAATTATTTAATATCAAAAAAATCAAATAATATATATTGTGAATAATGGTCCATTCCATTTTTTGATAAAGTGAGATTTTCTTAGCATACCACCCACGAGCTTTCTGCGTACCATTAGTGGTACGTGTACCGCATGTTGAGAAACGCTGCCGTAGGGATTAATGCGAGGTACTTCCAATAATCGAGGGTGGACGCAGCAACTAGGGGCGGGTGACCATCCGTGGAAATCATCTCGGCTGGCTGTTGCTGGAATAATGCTAGTGGAACTGTTTGCACAGCGTCGTCTTTTTTAGACGGCATATAGCTAACTGCGAGGCTAACTGTACCTAACTGTATTTTCATGGATACATCGATGTTCCAAGCAGTGCAGGTTCTGGATTCAAAGGGACCAATAATCTCTTTTTTTTTTACCTCAAACGCACTACGACGTGGCACCTAAATTATTTTTAATTGTACATAATAATATGTACATTGTACTTATGTATAGGAAATAATAAATGTGATATATTATGGTATGTTACTTTTTGATTATCTCGATTACCTATACGATTTTTGGGTATCGTGATTCGGTTATCCATGGGTGTAATTCGTATATAGGATTGAATAGTACCAGAGGCTATAGAGTCTTAGAAAACCTAAGTATTAAACTAAATAATACGTTTTTATTGACATCATTTTATTTTACAGAAGTCAGTTCCTTTGCCCAACATTACATAATGCGCAATGAACTCACAAAAGAAATACGGATGCTAGCAAACCAATAATTCCAAACATGAATGTTCATCTTTGTTGGCAGGATTTAATGTTACATTTCCAAAAAAGTACCAATGTACCATGTGCCTTATGCAGTTATATATTTAAATACCTATAGGCAGTGCTCGAATTGGAAATATAATAGAAGGGGTGCTAAAGGACTTTTAAAAATTTAGCGTTCCACTCAATGATTTAAACCAAACTAACCCGTGGGGGGCTTCGCCCCCCACACCCCCCATGAAGTATTTTCAACACAAATCAAACAATCATTAAAATTAAACAAAGGTTACACTATAACAATAAATAAATATTATTAAATTACAAACAAATCTTTTATTTTATTTTAAGATATTTTATACATTATTTAAATTTTTAAATTTTAAATTTTAATCTCGATATAATATACATTATTTATACACATTATTAGTATATCAGTATATGTAAGCCTGTATTATAATCACGGACTAAGATTTATAGTCTGTGGTCCGTGATTATAATAATAAATTATCTTATTATCTTATATATTTTGATTTTTATCATTAATGAAATTTACAATTTATCGCATATTTTGTTCAAATTGATAATACATATTAAATATCTATAAATAAACGTTTTATAAGTTTGTCAATAATAATTTACACGGGAGACGTACCGTCCCCCCCTTCAAATTAAAAATATAAGAAGGGGTACGCTAAAAAAAATTAAAATTTGAAGGGGAGCTCCGTCCCCCTGCGTCCCCCCCAATTCGAGCACTGCCTATAGGTAGGTTGAAAGAAAATAAGAAAATTCTTACTGTTGTTATAGTTTGCAGTAGTTTCGTCACTTTTTTTATTTGCTTGTCATTCACTTTGCTTTCCTTCTTTATTATTGGCATTTTGAGAGTCTTTTGGAGCTTTCTCGCATTTACAAAGTAAATCACATAGTAATTATTAGTAGACTGATACTCGGTCTGGACCTCTTTGTCTTCCATTTTTTTGTTTTTTTTTTGGCCAAAAGACATCTTTTTGATCTCAAAAAAAAAATCATTATAATTTAAATAAAATATAATAATTACAGTGTTACCCATGACCTCGTTCCCGTTTTTGAATAAACTATGTGACATCAAATAATATTAATGTCCACACTTTTCTGCAAGAAACCTTAGGTTCTCTATAATATAATATATTTTCATTGTCAAATTGTTTCAGCCTCTACTTTTTATTCGTATAAACTATATTTATAATGTGAATAGTTAATTTCTGTAGTTCGAACCGTTTACACTTTACATATTATGGGTAGGTACAGGTAATGTTCTTACGTTTATAAGTCAAATATTTTGCATTGTTTAACGCTGTATGGCACTTCACTATATAGTTGCATTGTATTCATAAATCATAATGTTATTGATTACCTATCATAATATAATGGTTTTAATTAAATTAAATATCATGTATCTACTAGCTGACGACCATTAAATGGTAACCATTTTCATGTAAGTACCCAAAAATTTTTTTTAATCCTCAGATATTGTTACAAGCTGTTGTTAAGACTGCGATTATTTCAAATACCACTGCTTAATTGCTATAACTATATCATATCACAATCATAATAATTTATGTATCCTATATACTAAATAGTTAACATTATATAAGCACTCGATTCGAATGATAAGCTTTCGAAATCTTATATGTTCTACGCAATCGAGTCAATATTAAATAAACTCACAATTTTTGCGAGTGTGATGAATATTTTTAAATTGATAATAATAATATATCATAAGCCATACCTCATAAGATTTCTCCACTCGAAACATTTGTAAAACAATAGCTGTATACACTGCAAATGCGTTCGTGTGAATGTGTGATTGTTAAAAATGACATTACATATTTTTCGAGGCCACGTGGCAGACCGCGTATTGTTGATTTCACACACTCATTCGGTCTCAAACACTTCAACTTTTCGGTTCAGCGGTTATAAATATTTAAATAGGTGCCTGCATATTACGGGAAGCTAAATAATTTGTTATTTTCAGCCCAACATGGATTTGGTATCCGGTCAAAACGAAAAATTGGTGAGTTGAAATTTAAATTCTCGAATAATATTATTTCGTCGTTGTTATCAATGGAATATATATCGTTAAAAAGACTAGTTTTTCGTGCCAATCAATTTACTAACTGTTGATTTTATACATATTGGAAAACCTCCTCATAACGGACTCCCTATAAGACGGAACTATAATATATCGTATATTTCAGTCTTCGTATAACGAAAAAAGACTGTTGGTACCGAACTGCTGAGCGATTTCGTTATAAGGAGGTTTTTCTGCATAGTATATTAATCTCGTCCAACCGTTATCCCTACCATTTATTTACCTTTATTTTTAATTTAGTTGTAACCAATATTTTGATGCTAAACATAATACTATAGGTACTCATTGTTGGAATTGTATAAAACATTAGGTATATCTTCTAAATATGTGTAAACTATATTACAGTGTGAAAATATGATTTTGTCTGTATAGTTATACTTCCCAAATATTACGTTGTTCGCAGTTCCCACACAAAACAAATACAAGACATTTGAACAAATAATAAAGGTACTCGTGGGTATAGTATATATGCTACCTATTGCTACTTCGTTGGTGTATTGTACTTACAGTGGTGGCTATCCTAGAGTAGAGGTGTTTGTATTTTTTGTAGGGATTTTTGTTCTATGTTTGGTATTTAATGTCTACAATATTTGAAAATTCCAAGGTTTTTATGGCAAAAATAGTCATGAGGTAATATGATGTTAGGGTATTTATTTAGTAAAATTGAGAGGATCCTAATTTGATTTTTTAACATGTTGATTAAACTATTCAGTAGATTGGATGTTATATGGATGTTTATTGATGAGGGTAGGTGGTTACTTCTTATGTTGTGTTTCGCTACACTTATATTTTTAAGGATAAACTGCCTGTACCTAGGTATGTTACTTACCGGTAAATTTATTGTTGCCTATCGAAAAATATTATTACGTTCCTGCCAGGGTGGCTTTGTGGTTGGTAAATATGTTAACACATATATATATATATATATATATATATGTATATATTATATTAACACATCTCAATACTAGCCACCCATATCGGTATAAATATTTTATATTATAATTACATTTTATTTTTTTACGGTAAAGTATACTGTGACTTTAGTCATCACGGTAAACCACATTAACGGCGGTCGGTGGTCATACAATATATTAATACTCATTATATGATGACTTCAGTAAATCATATGGTAAATATCCACGACGATAACTTAATTTTTCTACGATGACCTTACAAAAACATGACGTATACAAATTTAGAAAATTTTAAAATATTTGATAATGAGCAGCAAGAGAGATTAAATGACTTTTAGTTTAATAAATTGTTAATAATTAGTATGTAAAATACACAGTTTTTGGTAGATACCTAACACACTTACTGTTTTTTTTAATAGGTAGCATAGGATACTATAGGTACACAATGAGCTAGTACCCAGATAATTTAAAACTAATTCTTCCACATTAACTTACCAGCAGTTAACCGGCGTACTGTTTTTTGCCATATTATACCCCTGTTTCATTTGTCTAGGTTTTTTGTAGATATTTTTTTATCTGCAAATTGCTTACTTATTCGTTCCTAAATTGTATTTTTGAATTAAATTTATAATGTGGTGTGATTTTTCCCACATTGTAACGACGAGCGCAACCGTGTTCCATAAACTGATTACCTAATTTAGTCTTAACGATAATTCCACTTGTGGTCTTCTTCTTCTTTATACGAGATAATGTTACATCATAATACAGTGTTCGGAATGTTCACTAAAAAATTTAATTCGTTCGCTTTCGCGTTCAACGCTTAAAACATGAATGATTTCAAGTTCGCGTTCATTTAATTTTTTTACTTTATTCTTATGAATCGTTTAAATACTAATATAAAATAGTGGAAAACATAATATTAGTGTTGTCTTATGTCAAACCGTGCCCACTGAAATTCCATATTATACTTTTTTTATTTTTTTAATTCGTCACCAAATAAATAATACAATCCGAATATTATAATAGAAAAATGTTATTTTATAATATTATTAATCAATATGTATAGGTATATTTATTAAACGGCAATTACATTTGAACGTTTTAAAAATCTTTCAAATTCATTAAAAGAATATAAACTCCGTTCACGTTCACGTTCTATTTGAAAAAAACGGGCGAAGCTAAAGTATCTTTCAGTGACTTTCACTAAATTTGAACGCGAACGGTACCAGTGGCGGATACAGGGCTTAATTTTTGGAGGGGCGTGGGGGGGAAAGTACAAAAAGTCACGAAATTGGCTACAAAATTGGCTAAACACAGTGTAAGACAAAGGAAAACTACGGTGATTACGGGGGGGGGGCAAATTCCTCCTTTGCCATCCCCTGGATCCGCCACTGAATGCTACATCATATTATTATCTGTGCACCATAATAATATATTACATTTTAATCCCTTACAGTTTTCTCGTAATAGGAATTTTGTTTTTCAAACAAATGATAACATTGTATTTTACACAATAGGTATATTCTACATATATACATGAACAATGCTCATCTTGTGAAATCCTAAATATAGGTACCTACTTGTACGTGTGTATACAAATGTCTTAAACGAGTACAAGAAGAATCTAATTTAGTAACAAAGTCGCTAATTAGTTTTGTTATACGTAACTGAAAATTAAAACATTTTAATTTTATCTTGCGAAGTAAGGTAATGTACAATTCTCGTTAAATCTTTAAATGAGATCACATAATTTTATAACCTATATACACTTATTTGCATGCACGAAACAATAATTTTCTAATTTAGTTCAATTTCACGCATACGATTTAAATTTTTAACTCGTAATAAAGTATGATACAGCAGCTGATGTCAGACATCGGGTTACTGTGACCAAACTATCAATTAGTATACAAATAATTACAAACTACTAATACTTTTTAATCACAAGACACGAATATCCTTCATTATAATTTTTAAAAAACACGTGAATACATACCTGCCTACCTACATTTCAACTAATTTAATTGGTAAATTTGCTGTGTGGTAATTAATTAAAATTGTATTATGTACCTACCTGTGTCCTTTGGATTATTTTCTGAACATAAATGCATAAATTTCCTATGTACATTTCCTCACCAAGGCTGTAAAAATGTTATTTAATCAAAACATTATATAGGTACTGCAATTTTAAATATTTAAGTGCTCGGAAAGTTGACCAGAGGATTCATAATATATACTACTTCATAATAAAGTGAAACATAATCATAGCTAAATATAAATAAAATACTAAATAATAATATTATCTTATACATAATATATATTTTATGGTATACTTAGAACTAAAATAAGAGTGGACACGTGCGGCATATAGTTAATTCTCCGCACTCGACTCATTTAAAATGTAAAATAAAAACATTATTTTCCTTTTCAGAAATACCCAAAGTCCATATGGTTTATCGTACTCAATGAATTATGCGAACGGTTTACCTATTACGGAATGAGAAGTGAGTCTCAATTTTAATATAATATTTTAGTAATTACTGTTGGCGATGGCTTAACACTGTGATTATAATAAGTTCACTGTTTGTGGCCAATATTCTAATACAGTAACGATATGTATACACAGCTGTCTTGGTCTTGTACCTGACAACAATATTGAAGTTTGACGGTGAAGATTCGACCATAATTTATCACAGTTTCGTATTTCTGGCGTTTTTCATGCCGTTGCCTGGTGCGATCCTCGCTGACTCTTATTGGGGAAAATTCAAGTACGCTTCATAAGGAGTATGGTTTTAAATTGAGTGGCCGTAAAACATCGTAATTTATAGTCTAATTATTACTGCTTTTATATGACAATTATTTTTTTTCTTTTAGAACGATCATGTGTTTGTCAGTGGTGTATGCACTGGGGAACATTGTGCTCACCGGTTCTTCGATGGCAGATATGTTTAGCCTCGACGTTCAAAAGTTAATAAAAAATTATTTTACAATAGACAATTATTAACTATCGAAACATATTCTTGTTTGCGAAACAAAATAAACAATAAATGTCCCAAAACTGATGCACTACCAAACCAAACCTAACTAACCACGCAAGATACTTACTGACTTTTTTTAATTTTTAGAATCATTGCTTTACTTGGGTTATTTTTGGTATCCGTCGGTACGGGGGGCATAAAACCATGCGTTTTCACTTTCGGTGGTGATCAATTCCGGTTGCCTGAGCAAGAAAAACAACTGCTACACTACACTACCAAGTTCACGTTCGCAATCAATGTTGGTGCATTGTTCTCAACGTTTCTGACACCCGAGTTGAGACAAAGCGTACATTGTCTCGGCCGAGACACGTGTTTTCCGTTGGCTTTTGGTGTGCCTGCCGTGCTCATGTTGACCGCCATAGGTAACTATCATCAATTTTATAACACTAATAACACTAATATCATAACGATAGGACTCCGTCTATGCTAACGATTTAAGTACTTATTAATTTCACCGCATTGGCTTCAATACGACGGGCACCCGATGAAAATAAAACAATAATATGTCTCTTTACCGACTAATCCTACAACTAACCCTCCTCTCCCACGATAATTGCCACACAGCCCCCGCCATAAGTCATATTCCATCCAACGATTTATGTATCCTCTTATAACTCTCAAACACGATTGTATGTCTTACATGCCGCAGTGATATTCGTATCTGGGAAAAACATGTACGTGAAGAAGAAACCGGAACATAACGTCATTGGCAGAACATTCGGTTGCATTTTCGTAAGTAAAATGTTAAACGTCACCGATGCCCATGCGTCATACTATTTTTTATTATGTTCTCAATGTTTCCTTCAAATTTCTATGTTTAATTTTCAAGTACGCGCTGCGCACGAAGATGACTTCACGGGTCCCGTGCCAATCACACTGGCTGGATAATGCAAAGGGAGTGTACACCGAAGCGGAAATCTCGGATACGAGGACAGCCCTGGACGTGATCAGTGTGTTTGTGGCTTATCCGGTGTTTTGGTCCTTATACGAACAACAGGTACCTAAGGCGTAAAAATAAATGTGTACTAATTTTGAAATAACTTAAAAATGAATGAACTATTGCTCCGTTATCAGATAATAGTTGTAAGCTTTAATGTACTTTAAGACTGGCCCAGATTTACGGAGCGCTCTCGGGGTCATGTCTCGAGGACTGGTCAACTATATATACACCTTTAAAATATAAAAATCTTCCTGCTTTTCTGGAAACTTTTTGATCAAACTATATTTCACGGTATGGTAGGAATAAATTCAGGACCATGTGTGTAGATGTACATTATAGATAAGATAGGTACACAAGAAAAACAGTGGTAATACCTACTACGTTAAAAAATCAAATGTCGGATACTAGGACAACCTAGTACGTGATCGTAGCTTGTTCGTGGTGTAACCGGTATTTTGATCGCTATACGAACCACTGGTATGGTATATATTTTTCCCATAGGGTCTATAAGTTATAATATCGACATGGATCTGTATTGTTGTGTGACATCCCTTCCGTTCTACCTAAGGGTTCCAAATGGACTCTACAAGCGACGCTGATGAATGGCCGTGTGGACTTCTTAGACTGGACAATCAAACCAGATCAAATGCAGACACTAGTGCCATTGTTCGGACTGACGTTCCTCGTTCTCTTCGACGTCGCCTTATATCCGTTGCTCGCCAAGGTCGGCATCCGGAAACCTTTACAAAAACTCACGTTGAGCGGTGTCTTGGCCGTCATAGCATTTGTGATCGCAGCCATACTGCAGTTTAACATTTTCGTAAGACTTAAGCTAGAGCATTTATTTATTTTTTCAATCCATATGTGTAACTGGTTTTTTTAGGGAAACACCGCTGAGATACCGTCTGGACAAGGACTCCTAAACATTTACAACGGATTCGATTGCAAAGTGTTCGTACGTTCGAGGACGTTACACGTGCAGGATCACATAGGTTCGCTGGAAATGATAAACGTTACGCATACAGTCTTGTCACGGGATGACGTCCTCATCACATTAGAATTTGAACCTGAGTGCCCATTTGTACCAGAGAAATACGAGTTCGATACCACCGTGACGATAATCGAAGGAGAGGTAAATGTTTTGATTTTATATAATATTATACATTTTCACCCAATGAGTAACGGGCGTAACGACATTTAAATACAAAACATAATATTAAGTTACAGATAGGTAGTAAAATAATGATCTATCTTATCAGGAGGATATTTTCGATAAATAAAAATACACCCCATGATTCTAGAAAGAGGAACCTCCTAATAGTGTATACCTTATATGTGTTCGTTCTTCCCTATTTAATACCACGACAAGCTACTGAGTTTACAAAAAGTTTTTTTTAATTTACTTATACCATTTTGAAATGATGTTCTAGTCAAAAATGTTTACTGATGTGTAGATTTATAAAAAAAATTTTGATTTATTATAGAATTATGTGTATTGAAATGTAGAGAAGAATATTAAAATAATTGTCATAAATCAATAATGTGTAGGGTGAGGTTGGCAATACCACCATCCTACCACCTCCGACGCCGCACTGTTGTGTGTGTGTGCGTGTAGTCCGTTACGTCTCTCTTTAGTCTCGCTTTTAAATATTATGTACGTTAAGGACGTTAAGGTTAAAACAGTAATAAACACTTATGAACGTTATTTTCTTTGTTGTTGTTTTATGAATTATATATTTTAACTTATGTTATGTTGATTGATGATGGTTCGGCGTAAGAGTAACACCGCCTACAAATGAATTTATATAAATACTATTAAATCATAAAAATAGTCCGTAAATATCGATATAAATGTTATTATTCACTCTCAACTATAAAGGTTTGTTAAATATTTAAATAAAATTTTACAAGTTGAATACAATAAATTCAAGCTAATAGATATTTACTATCACAGTCAGAAAAGTTGGCTTTTAAACGACTTTTAGACTCAATAATTTCATGGCCTATCTATAATCTATTCTTCTACTTATTTACTATTTATTATAATAGTGGTTGACGAGTAAGTATAATAGGTATATATTTGTTTTTTTTTAGTCCATTGATATTTGATCAATGCGTATTAATATATTATTAAATATTTTATGAAAAACTATAATCAATGATATTAAAAAATATATGATAATAAAATACGTAAGAGCACAACTGTGCAAATATGTTATTAAATAATAATTATAGCCATTATAATAATAATTACGCAAGTCTTGTTTACGAAGAGAACGTAAAAAATTTAAATAATCATTATTAATTTTATATTATTATTATAATAATGGGTTTTGTCTTATCCCTATATATTATAACTATAATAATAAAAAAAAAAAATTGTATAATAATTTTTTTTTAAACTAATTTTAGGAGAATTCTTATCACTTGGTCAATTTAAAACCAAACACAATAGCATTAAAACACGTTGGCGTTGGTGATAGTTTGGTTAAAGAAAAATTTGGAAACCCTAACTTAAGGTGTGTATATCTACAAATATTGTCTGTTCCACTAAACGGCACTATATCTAAATTAATATACGAAAACAAATTACTTTAGAATTTTGATCGACTACACATTTGATTTTGATGATAATATTACATTGACCAGTGCAGATCAAAACTCGCTCATCTCATACCGTCTCTCTCAGTTTCGAGGGATGAACTTTAATGCCGTTAAGGTAGGGAAGTAAGTATCCAATATGTTTATACCACTACAATATAATGAACTAAAAATAATTGAATTTCTACATGACGTAATCTATAACAGATATAATTTAGTGAACAACGGAAAACTATTGACCATTGCACCTGTGGACATAATACCAGCCACGTTTTATACACTCACTTTACAACGAAATGGCGATAAAATGGTAAAATTGTATATTATGCTGTACCTGAATATTGTAATTAATATCTTGTGAACTACAAGCAAATTTTATGTGAAAAGGCATTTATATAGGATGTACGATTATTCACCGAAAACGAAGGGAACTATATTCACATTCTGTGGCAGTTACCACAATATATGTGTATGATCATAGCCGACGTCATATTCGTGGTCACGACGTTAGAATTTTCTTTTACAGAGGTAGGTAAAATGTGTCTTATCCAATATAATGTAATGATGTTATCTATATTATAAGACATATGTTTGACATAATAATTTTACGACATCTTTCGGATCCATTTATCTAATCGGATAGGTAGGTTAAGGTACGCCTTTAATATTATTATATTATTTAAGTACGGGATTGAAATGGTTTTAAATGTATAGAATGTATTTCACATAGCTCGTCTATATATCGATAGACTATAGTACTTAGAGCCAGTGGCGGCTCATAGGAAATATAGGTACGTGATACGTATTAATGAGGGTGGGTGTCCCAATGGATGAAAATGGTATTTTGAACCATAATTTTAAAGGTTATTCAACCACTAACAACCTATGAATTCACTAATTGGAGAGCAGTGAACAATTAATGTTTTAAGTGAGCAGTGCAAAAATATTAAAAGCTAGTCAAGGAAAAAAAAGTTTAAACCGTCACTGCTGATAGCTAGCTTTGAGTCGATTAAATGATTTCTGCTAACCTAACCTAACCTATCATGTTTAGAAATACTTAACCAAAAATATGAAATTTTGTGCTCATATACTGTATAACATTGTTATTGCTTATTCGATATAGGCACCGATAAACATAAAGTCGTTCATATCTGCTGTAAGTTTATTGACAACGGCTTTGGGAAATCTATTGGTAGTAATCATATCGACAATATCAATTAAAAATCAGGTATCTGTGTGAATAATTTGTTTAATACGTAGATAATAATATTTATAATCGTTTTTTTTTCGTTTATGTTCTAGGCACATGAATATCTTCTATACTCCGGTCTCATGCTTGCTGACACACTGTTATTGGCCTATTTCAGTATGGTTTATCGGAGTAAGACTACCAAAGAGACTAACGCAATAGCACACACTACCGAAAACAAAAAGGAAGAAATAACTGTTTTCGACTGAGTACAATTGTATTCGATAAATCTGACAATAAGCCCAAACTTGAAGAATAAATTATATTCGTGTGTAGGACCGCATTGTTTTAACTTTTAAGGTGCACTGTAATATTAGTGACGCTCTTTGAAACCGATCATTGATTAATATATTATTATTACAGAAACAAAAAATATAATTGCATATTATGTATGTTATAATATAATATATTATTATGTATAAATACAGGGTGATTTTTAAACAAGCTAACCCTCACTTTTTTCTCTTAAAATTACATTTATTCAAATTCTGATTTTTAGCATATTTTCAAATTTCTGATATTTTTTGTTCTACTTAAGAAATGTCCTGTGTACAAACATTTTTCATATGATACCCCCCCCCCTCCCTCTTTTTACTGCAAAATTATTTAACGGGTAATTTTATGAGTTATAATAATCCTTAAATATGGTTTAAAGAAATATAAGGTAAGTATATATTATAATATTATATGTAGTATTCATATAGTTAGATCATTTTTACAAACTATATTATACATATATTGATAGATCAATAGCAATTTTTAAAATGTTAAATTCGTCTTAGCGCCCAAATCTACTTAACCCATTACTATAGACACATTACCTATTCTTAGTACACAAAGTTATACAACAAAAACTACTCGTTCGAATTTTGATTTAGATACCTACATTAAAATGCTCAACAAAAAAATATCTGCTGAATAATTGATCAACCCTTAATTGGTACAAAAAATCTCAAGTATTCGAAAGTATGGTCACCCTGTATTAAAAAATTCCAAAGATCAGAATTTGAATATAAGTATAATTTAAGCATAAAAATAGATTGAGCATGCTTCAAAAATCACACTGTATATATTTTTTTTTATTATTGTAACTATAATATTTTGCATCATACATAATTCTTTTTTCTTTGCTAATATATTTGAAAATGATAACTATAGGTAAATAAAATTGTATTCTAAAAAAATTAACAGTTTTAGTTTTAAATGATATACAAAAGATCTGTTGGATTTTGAATAGAGAAGCCTGCTGCAGTTATATGTATATATATATCAAAAATGTTGATTAATAAATTAATTAGGTACCTACGAAATTCTTGATTAATTATACATTCGTATAACCATGAAATATTTTATTTTTGAGTGGTCTTCACATTTTAAATATTATGTATTTTTTATATTCCATATCAGTATGTTATCACTTTAATGTAGTAAGTTAATAGAACTTTGTCTAGAACCACTTTTGATTATAATCATATTATATTGCAAATAACGAACTGTACCGATACGAGTTTCTAACCTCACCTATGGTGTAACAGTCCAAATTACTCATCGCCGAGGTTAGATAGAAGTTAGTAGGTGTGCAAACTTTAATATTTGGTAGCTAAATATTTTTTTCGAAAAAATATAAATAAATTATGACACAAATGGCGGTTATATTATGGAAAGTAGTGTATAGTCACTTTCAACTATTTAAAAAAAAAATTATCAACGTCATTCTAATAATTATTTTTACATTGCTACAAAGACACAAAGTGAAGTGTGATGCAAACCTATATGGCATGGATCCAACATTTTCTATAGATTTACAAATTTGTTAATTTATTACCAGAATTAATAAAAATGTATTAACAACTTTACACAGTACACAATTTATCATCATACAAATCACTTAATTGATTAGTTTTACATTTATTTTTGAGTATAATAAATTATCATTTAAATACATAACTATAATTTAATAATTATAACTTTAATAATTATGCCATGTGGATATACGATATACCCCATCGTCTTAGACTCCGTTAAATGTAAACAGTGAGCACTACTTCCATATTTTTGTCACATTTATATTATATTTTAAGTGTGGTTTTGTTCAAAATATATTATCAAATAACAGGCTTAAAACTATGTCCTGCAATTTATCAAAGTAACTATTTTATTTTCTACGATCAATTTGGTAACCTCACGGTGTTTATATTTAAAAATATGCCTCGAATCGCACATAATATCTTCGGACTATAGAGAACTAACATAATAATTATGTACCAAATTTCGGAACCACGTGTCCGGTACACTATTGGGTATGGATTGCCTACAACACACACTATAGCAGACATTGCCTTATGTTAATGTAGATAATCTAACCGTTTGTTGTTTAACGGTCGCTATGTATTAAATCGTAGCAAACTTGACTTTGAGTTTGGTGTAAAGGGAAACTTACTTTCCTCCCACTCGTTTATGATAATATTACATTGTAATATATAGACGTGATTCTTACAGCCGTGTAGTAGATAAACGTAGATATTATAATATAATAATAGTTGTGTTGTGCTACTACATATACTTATCGTGAAACTGTGTGCACACTTTGTACGATCGTATCGGTATTATAGTTTCCAGGTATTAACCTGCGATTCACCCAGGTACCTAGGTATATACAGTCGAGTTTACAGTCTTATTATTGTAGATTTTGTAGCCCATCGAGTCGAACGGTCTTTTGGTTTCTCGCAAAGATATTAATCGGATACGGCAAGCAGTATTTGCAGCACGAGCTCTGCAATAGGAGAGGGGGTGCTTATAGGGGCTTGTCCCCCCCTCAAGATAAATTAATCTTCGAACTTGGAAGATATAAATTCAAAATTATAATACATAATGATGCACATTTCACAGTAAAATGCTGTACGAAACACGCACGTACTCAACGTCAATGCCAACTACATAATCGCAAATATACATACCTAACAATATAACTTCAAAAGACGTAAGAAATTTTTTTAATGTCTACTTGTTTAATGTCCTATAAAGTGTATTTACATTTAACTGTCAAGTTATATATTAGATATTTTTAATAGTGGATAACTCGAACGTCTTGAACGTGAGATAACTTAATCAGTAAAATGAAAAATTTAATATCAAACATTTTAAAATCTTGGTAATAATAATATATCTGACTTTAAATTGTTTAAATCAATTTTGAAACTAGCCTTAACACATTAATTTGTAATAGTAAAAGAAATATGAAATTATACAGAACCTTTTTTCTATCGATCGATGAGAAAGTTGCACGACTTTTTGATCATTTATTTTTTGTCTGTAAAACTATAGATAAAAAATTCTATGAAGTGATATGCATTCTCTATTATCGTTGCGTTGTTCACCTATAATATTATAATATTTTATCCTTTAAACACGGTAAGTTTTGAATGGGTGTTTTCACACTATCTATGACATAGGCTGTCGATTACACTGAGTTGTCGTATCGAAAGGTATAAATAAGTCTTAAAAAGAAACCTTAAAGCTTTATTATAGGTAGTAGGTACCTATGTGAAATAATGTACATGACTGTTTATTACACTGCGATATAGAATGTTATTGAATTTAAGAATTATAATATCACAATATTTTATTTTAGGCACTTAAGTAGCTGTGGCTGCTGGTGACGATGGGACTTTGATAGCCCACGACATAGATCGATGATGTGCGGGTGTGAAGATTAAAATATAATCGACGTCTATAAATAACACTTAGCCTTCTACTCGTAATTTTACCCAACAATTTATAATACGGCGTTAAAAGTAGATGATACGATAGTGCCGACGGCTCATAGTGTTATACAGGGTGTAACAGAAAGATCTAACAAAAAAAAAAAAGATTAACACTTAAACAATTATTACATTTCAAATTAATTCACTCCAAAAAAATATTGATAAATTAAAAAATTGTAAAAACAAACCATTTTACTTCAATGAACGTTTTTACAATCAAAATTTGTGTAAAATTTAGATTAAAAAATTGTCTATTTTGTAATTTTCAGAAAAAAATTTCATGTCTTTCTGTGACACATTTTATGTTTATATTCGACAAAATAATACCTAACCCGATTAACAGAAGTTCAATTACCTATTACTCCAGTAATAAAAAATAACTGTCATAGAAGATTTATTACCTACCTTAATATAGTACCATTCTACAGTATACAAAATAAACAATAGATACACATACCTTATTTTATAAGTGGCATGCTAGGTACCAGATATTTTTCCTCTACAAGGAAAATTAGGAAATCACATAGATATGTTTTTGGTTATAGTACGAAGAAAAATATATAGTACCTAGCATGCTACTTTTGTTGAGAATTTATTTTAAATTCTGGTTGGAGCGAGGAAGCCAATGGTTTTACAATGGTGTATATTTTTTTATTTTATTTTTACCAAAATTAATTTAAATGTATTATTATAGTGAAAACACCTCCCTACCTACTTTCCTGTTTAAACCACTGCCTATCACTGCATAGAAAATATGATGTAAATCAGAATCAAACAGTTCTAACTAAATCGATAATATATCTTTACACTATTTTAATTGAATAAATAATTTTTATTTTCAGAATGAAAAAGTTAAACGCATGAAACATTTTAATTCTAAAACTAATGTTTCCCTTTTTTATGGTTTAATCCATCAGTAATTGCGGTAAAATTGTGTTCTATGAAACAATTTTGATACTGTATCAAATTTTCGTAATTCAGTAATTACAGTGAAATAAGTTATTCAAACTTAAGCAAGTTCATAGTAAATCGACGATGCACTCTGTATAATATAGTAAGTATTAGGTAATTAAAAATAACAATATTTAGTTACTTAATCAATCTATTGATTTTATCACAATTCATATATTATGTACCAACTAGTGTACATTTTAGTTTTTTGCGAGATTGTAGCTTTTATTTTAAAATGTATGATTAATCTATAATACGATAAGCTTGTCGAAATTCAAAATGCAATTCCTGACAGTCGATTTATAATATTATTACCAGTGTTTTACGTAAAGGTACCTAGTACTAAAAACTAAAAAGTATAATGATCAATGTCTGCCAATTCTTTCTTCCAAATCCTTTATAATTAGTTAATTTAAATGTTAAATGTTTAATAAAATATTAGGTAGGTACCTAATTTACATATATATATATATATTATACAACTTGACAACAATTTCAATAAAAATGTATGTACTCGTAAAATTATAGATTTCATTTATTTTATTACACAAACTAAACTTATTAAAACATGGTTAATGTGTCTCATGACATTCAATGCATAGATCATAATGGATTATTTCCTACTTGTGTTATACTAATTCACTGACAATTTTTTAACACTGTACACATTACTTTTGCTCTGCAACACTCAATAGCGTAATAATAATAATATAATCATTTCAAATCAATTACCTAAATATGTTATAAAATTATTAAAATACCTACCATATTTTTTAAGAATAATATCACATTTATTACAAATCCGTACAATTAATGTTTAAATAAAAAATAATAATTTGTGTGTTTGTTGTATTATTTTTCTCTATGTATTCACTTAAACTGTAACATAATATTTGAATATTATTCGATGATGTAGCTATTACATGGGTGGACAAATTATTAATCAGACAAATAAATATACACAATAATATATTTCATATAAATAAAAATAAAAAAAAAAATTAATTTATCCTTATTCTTTTATAGGAGTGTAAAAAAATAAGAAACAAAGTGCAACATTTTTTTGTGGAATCTCCCGAAATTTTAAATCTCTGGACCGAAAAATTGCGATCCGCTGGGCGTCATAGGTTAATGGCTATTGGCTTTAACCTAACCTATGTAAATATGGACATAGCTAGGTATTATTTTCCCCATTTAAATAGGTAGGTTATAACTATGAACTATATTGTCTGTCTAAAATATTTATATTTCGATTATAATCTCTGTACAATATAATATTATAATTGCAGGTAGTTCTTAAATCAGAACCATCAGGTTTCGCGTGAGTACAAAAGTCACAAGGTTCAAAAATATTACGTAAATGATTGTGTAATTATTAATTATATATTACTATCATATTATACAGTATACTTATCAAATACATTGATAGATAATTAAACTGAATTCTTCTAATTAAATAAATCATTTATAAATCATATTGCAATGCACAAATTTATATATGGGCCCAAGATATTCAATTATTATTTTTTATTTTTTTTTATATCGGACATTTAGTCCAATTCACAATGCGAATGGCAGATAATAAGAATGATAAGTCATGTATATGAAACAATATATTATAGAGATAAGAACTAAATAATAATCAATATTTTTCTAAACACCATTCATATTAGATAAACAATGATCATGATATCATTATATTACGAATTCAAAGTCAACACGTTCCATTACATTGATTAGCTTTTTAATATTATAGTTTATGGTTAGATATTAATATGATAGATATATTTACAAATGGTACAATCATAAACATAGAAAATAAATAGCAAACATATTTTTCTATACGAAATTAATATAGTATAAACAATTAAATAGGTATATAGAGTTTATTTATAATATAAATTGCATTTAAAACAAAGAAAAACGAAGACATACGTTATTAATTTTACATAATATATATATATATATATTTTATTAGAAGTTACTGCAATAAAAATTATTGGAATATTTATTTATTTATTATTTTATTTATAAAGGTATGAGGTATACCGCTCACGAAAATAAACACAATTATTGTAAAATTGTAACTACATATTTTTAATGTTATAGTTTGACATTATGACATATTAACATTGATTAAATATACTTAAATATTAAGTATATTTAATCAATGATATTAATAATATATTAATATACAGGTACAAGTACTGTTTAGTCTATATTTTTAATTTTATATTTTAATGACACCCTCCCCACCCCACCCTCATATTTACTATCGTATTCTCCCCTCCCCTCTTCCACCAAGTCACTGGAACCACCCCTGTACACGATATATGAAATTAATTAAATTAATAGTATTATACGAGTTAACTAATCACTATTACAACCGTCAAACCTTTTAGATTTAGATTTCGGTTATTCAAGTAGGTAGTAATTATAGAATCGATTTCGGAGTTAAATATTCACTCTAACTCTATTCTCTTTAAGGTAACTTAATACTTTATAAGTTCTAAAACTTAGTGAACTTCAAGTAAAAAGTTAATTTCGAGACGTCTCGTACGTCATTGTTTACAACTTTACGAAAATGTGTAATATGAACTTACCACAAAGTACAATGGTTATAATATTAATATTAACTACCGATAATAACACTATCGATCAGTGGTGGTTTTAACGATCGTTTAGTTGGTAAACGCTGATGGGGCTCCTCTCCTAATACTGGGGCCCATCTAAATTATATACCTATCTAGTTTATTATTTTGGTTCTTACCAAAAAATCATAAGCAGATTTTATATTGCAAACTTCAATATAATTTACACTATTGTTATGTTGAAATACAATTTTGTAAGTATACCGTTGCACATTTCATACGAGATCCCTCTTATGGATTTACCGATTTTATTTGAAAAATATTGAACTACCACTACTATCGATGATTTATAATTTGCAGGTTTCGACTGAAATAGAAAAGAACAGAAAAATTGAGTCGTACATAGGCTATAATAATATTATTATAGGATCGGTACCTACAACAGTGATTCCGCACTCACTACGTTTAAGCACGAAAATTATTATACATAATAATAATATGCTAAAAACATTATTATATTACATATAGGATGCTGTCGGTCCGATACAACAGGTGGGAGGCAGTTGCGGTGGCGGCGGCGGTGGAACAAAAGCTTGCTACTACAGTTAAACACAGATTTCGTGTTTAAGATGTTACTATTATTACTATTATTATTATAATTATACCACCGATTTAAAGCTATATAATTAGTCGTTCACTCAGATGGGATTTGACTATAATATTATGTTGTTCAGTATTCGAGCATTATTCTACCGGTTAACACGTGTGTGTGGGTGAGTGGGTGTGTGGGTGTTTGGGTGAGTGCTATCGAATCGTCATCGGGGAATAATAATAATAAATAGGTTGATAACACGAGTATACTGTATTTCCATTGAAGATGAGATAAAAATAATTAAATCTAAAAAACACCCAAGCCGGCCCTGATGCTAAAAACGATCGTAATAATAGTGATCACGAATACTGTTATATTATAGGTTATTCGTTCGGTGTAGTCACCCGAGTTTAACGTCAATTCCGCCACCTCTGCCTTCTATTGTAACACATACTGTTGTAATACAATACGATTTATTTTGACTAGTAATATTTCAATAATAATAATAATTAGTAATTGCCTACTATAATAAGAGTGAGAGCTTCGACAAAATGGAACCACCCGTAAATAACTTGGCAAGTATAATAACATATTACATGTTTCGTGTTGTATATTTTTTTATTGTTTGTGTAATTTTTTTAAGTCCATATATGAAAGTATATGCGTAGAGATTATTAGAGACGTATCAACCACGTGTGTGCTTAATTCTTATTTTTTTTTAATTCGCACACTAACCTCCTGCAAACGTAACGTGATGGTAAGAACTCTTTGTTCATGACCGCTCGAATTACATTATTTTTCACCCTCAAAAGTCCAAAGGTTTTGACTTGCATATTTTGATAAATGCGTGTACAGTAAGTATGTCGATAGGTGCATGTGTAAATGTGCAATACTACGATTTGCATTTTTTCAGACGTTATGTATAGGTACATCCGCGGTTTTGATTACCTAGCTGGTCCGGGAACGTACAGAATTAATCACGAATTAATTGCATATTATATTATTATATAAACATATATGTGACTGTATAGTGTATCTACAATATATATATATTAAGAATTTTGATGATAATACTCTTTTTAGTATTATCTAGTTATGAAGAGGGGCTTTATTTATTAAAATAATAAAACAATTACTCATATTGTACTTTTTGTGGCTATTTTTTTTAAAAATTGAGATAGGTATTTAGTCTATTATTATTTATTACGAATGGTGGCTTAAATCTCTTTTTGGAATCATCGACCGTATTGGGTGACACGTTTAATTATTATCGTATAGGTACATCCTGGTATCCTGCAGTAGTGGATTCGGAGAAATCATTTGAAAAAATTAAAAAGTCCTTTAGAAAAGAGGACTTGAGAATATCATAGAGATATCTGTACAGCAGGGTAGAGAAACGGATGTTCCAGCACTCTACCTATATATAGTTTATTTTTATAGAGATTATAGATAAATAAAACTTCACGAACGTTTTAGTATTAATTTCCGTTCGATGAGTTTAGATTAAATTGTAATATTTATAACACGTATTATGTGAATTAAATTAAATTTTTGTACTTGCTAAAATCGAGTTTTTCTATATCGATAGAACTGCAATACTTTATTTTACTGATGGAATTCTGTGTCTGATATTATGTTATATTTTATTTTACTAGATATGCATGACGTTTATAAAATAATAAATTATGTTAATATTTTGTTAAATTTGGAAGTACAATGACTGTGATGTATTATTACTTACCTATTATGTATTAATAATTATTTTATTTCATGTTATAGAAATTTCCAAAATCCGTTTGGTTTGTCGTATGTAATGAAATGTGTGAAAGGTTTAACTACTCTGGACTTAGAAGTAAGAAAATAAATTGTATAGTTTGTATAGCTAAAGACGAGGGGACAGATAACGAAATAATTATCGCCTGATTTAATCAATTGGCTCATGTACCAAAACTATTTTAAATTTATTTTATCGGAGAAAATATAAGTAAAATGTCAATAGATATCTTCAAAAGGTCAAGAGAATAAGCTCAATAAAAAAATATACTTTGGTATTTGACATTTTTATTTTTAAATTGTTTACATATTATTTGAACTATACGTTTAAAAAAATATAAAATATAATTACCGGTTACCAATATAGTACCGTATAATGTTAAAATGTCAAAAGATCATTGTTAGGTTTTGAATTCAATAACACAATATTAATGTCAGTTTCTTCACTTTTCATATATAATATTATACAATATAACTTTATTGACGTAGATATATACGCTATTATATTCAACAAAAATATAAGACAGTCGATATAATATTTTCGTATTTTTGTTTTCAGCTATTCTAGTGTTATATCTGTCAACGATATTAAATTATACCGACGATAAGTCGACCATGATCTATCATGGCTTTATATTTTTATCATATTTCATGCCATTGTTCGGTGCCATATTGGCCGACTCTTACTGGGGAAAATTTAAGTGAGCATGATCAATAGTAATCACACCAATATTAATTTGGCACCTTCACGTTTATGTGTCCATGACTTTTAAAATTGTTTTTTATCGTTTTTGCAGAACTATAATACGACTGTCAATAGTTTATGCCCTGGGAAACGTCATCCTCACTGGAGCTTCGATGGCCAACAGTTTCAGTCTCGATAGTCAAAGGTAATAATATATTATTCCACTTAAAATATTGATTAGGTTGGTTAAATTTCTTCTACAATTTTAATCGTTATGATTAATATATATTATTTTTTGTTGACCTAATTAAATGTTTTACTATTATTCACATATTAGCTTGACATCAGGTTGACACCCAGCATAATTTTAAGGAAAATTATTAAATATGTTTCTAGAGTAAAAGTTAAAAATGTATAAACTAATCTCCTTCTCAAAAAAAATATAAATTAAGTACATTAAATATAGGTACTTACACAAGTTGTACACGTACTCAATACTGTGTGGTTAAAACCAGAATTGTTAATACGATTTTATTAATGATCCCGTCATTTTTAAATATTAGGTATACCTAATAATATAACATTGTGATGTCGATTGACGAGTGAATACACTCAAAGGTTACTGATGCTAAATTTTCTTTTTGAAAACCCATTTAAAATTCAATGACAATAGTACAGTGACTTATTGATTTATATTATATAGATTCATTTCCATCGTCGGTCTAATATGTATTGCGATAGGAACAGGTGGCATAAAACCGTGCTGTTACACGTTTGGCGGCGAACAATTCCAATTACCGGAGCAACAAGATCAACTTTCCCAATTTTTCAGCAGATTCCTAACATCCATTTACATTGGGTCGTTGATATCTACGTTTTTAGCACCCGAGCTAAGGAAAAGCGCACAGTGCTTTGGCAGGGACTCGTGTTTTCCGCTGTCGTTTGGCTTATCATCACTGCTAATGATAACTGCCATAGGTAATTTATTATAATAATTATCGATCTCATACACGCCACCCTTTCTTTGTGTTGTTACCACATTTTTAGATATTTTATAATTTTGAAATATCAATATTATATATTACTAGCTGATCCCGTGCACTTCGTTGCCCGTTAAAAATACGAACTCTATATGATTCAAACTTTGTCCAATTTGTTATTTAATATTTGGTGTATGATGTTAAAAACTTATCTTTACATTCATATGTACCTACAGATAAAGAAGAAAAATAAAAAAGGTAAAATAAGAAAAAAAAATGTAAAATATTGGAAAAATTTGGTCCACCGAAACCGTTTTTCGAACTTAAAATCCGCTCAGATTCAATTTTAGCGTAAATATTGGCTATAATATACTGACTGAATCATTTCTCGCAACGAAGTAAAATACCTATTATTGGAATTTTCTCTGACTTGATATGTCTTGTCTATATGAGTAAAAATCCTGACACAATTTTTTTTCGAGGAACCCTTATTGTTACTGGGTGAACTTGTGGTACATTAATTGAATAACCGTCCTCTCCATGACTAAATATCAAAGCGTACTGTAGTGCATCGTAAGACCGGTGTATTTGACTTACTCGTTGTAGCATGTTATCTCGTGCTCGTACAACGACAATCCTTTTTGTAAATTCTTGTCCAACAATTAATACGGCTACCTCATCAATTTGAGGTGCATTGTAACGACTTATATGCTCTGTCTGTGGCGCACGGTTAGCTTTGATAATGACTTGGAAATCTTCTATATTCGATGGAATTGCTTCGAAATCACTCTTGAAGCTGCGCATGTAAGGATTGTGACAATGCAACAAATATTGCAAGTCGCGTAATAATTTTCTGTAGGTATTTGAGACTATCGGTTTTTGAAGTACTCAAAGGTTAGGTTAGGTAATAGTAATAGTACATTGTACTTCGCTCACCGAATCACCCATGAAATATATTTGCAAAACCACCGGTTTGTCAGAATTGTTTGGTTAAAGAGATCCAGCTAAATGATAGACTTGACCCTGAACCTTTAATGTAGGCATGAAATCTACATGTCTGGTTTCATTGTAACCGAATGACGTCACTTGAAAACACGTTAATTGTAAACAAGAATCATATCAAGAAAATTTTAGAATCTCGATGAGAATGATTCAAAAGACTGTTTGATGATTCAGGTGGATCAGCAATCTCTACCTATAGAACTATTCCTCATGGCCATCAGAGACCGGGTGGTTCTTTAGACCATTTCGATGCATTATAGAAGTTGTACTTTAAACTCATATTTCCTACAGTTCCTATATTTCCTATATTTCTATAATAAAACAATTTATTACAATTAAGGCGGACATGTTATTAATTTCATCTTCAATTATACTGTTCCTAGATAAGCGCATCTTCTTGGCAAGATTTGTGGATCGGCCAAGCTTTGATTCTCTCTTTACGGGCATTATAAAACCATAAAAACGACAAAAATTCTTCAAAATTGACAACTGAAACTATAACAATCCTAACCAATATCAACCGTACACTAAACAAAAATATATGATAATTTAGTTTATTTTCTTCCTGAACAGATGGGGCACTGTTGTCTTTTTGATATCCACATTTCCTACTTTTTCTGAGAATTTTCCTACAATTTTCTTTCATAACAATCTTGTCCTGACAATTACGAATATAACAAAAAAAGAATCAGGCAAACTGAGCAAGCCATTTCGGAGGCAGCCTGTCTTATAGATTTCCATTTCGCTTTTATGTATATAAAATATAGGGAATAGATTATAGATAAATAGATAATTTACGAAAATTAGGTAATTCGTAAATGTTCGTTTTTAAATATTTTTTTAATTTTTTACACCATCCAATTTATAAACATTTCAGTTGTTTTTATCCTCGGAAGAAAACTGTACGTGAAAAGGAAACCGGAGAAACATGTAATCTTCAAGACTTTTGGGTGCATATTTGTAAGTATAATATATAATCTATATATTGCATGCGCATCGCCGTTGACATTTCAGTAATTAAACACGCACTTCTCGACACTGTATTAATTGTTTATGCTATTGGTAAGTACGGTGTTCGTAAAAGTATCTTTTCGTCGACTTCCAACGAGGCTCATTGGATGGATATCGCCACCAAAAAGTACTCTAAAACCGAAGTGTCTGACACGAAGGCGGCGCTGGAAGTGCTATACACTTTTATCGCTTATCCGGTGTTTTGGGCACTCTACGAACAACAGGTGAGCCACCAATTTCAGTACACGAATATGATGTGCGTCCGATACGATTGATACCGTGGTTGTGTTTTCGGTATTCGACACGCAGGGTTCACGGTGGACGTTACAAGCGACTTTGATGGACGGCAAGTTGAGTGGCATCGGTTGGGAGATCAAACCCGACCAGATGCAGACCATTCACCCACTTCTCGCGCTCTTGTTGATCCTGTCGTTCGACCGAGTTCTGTACCCTTTTCTGGCGATTTTCGGCATACGGCGATATCTGCAAAAGCTCATTTTCGGCACTTCCATGGCTACAGTGGCCTTTCTGCTCACCGCCGTTCTCCAGTATAAAATATTCGTGAGTAACTACTACTGATCACAATCTGCATATTACAATCTTAACACTTCCGCTGGTGTTCCATATATAACTGTCGCTCATTCCGCATGAATAACACACATTAAAAACCTGTGTGTGTCAGAACATATATAATTAATATAATATATTTTGAAGTGCCCACCGCAACGTTGATATCGTTTACAATACTTAGTCGTATTTGACCGTACACCTGATTACACGTAGCAGTAACTGCGAACTACCGGAGATCCCCTTATATAAATCTATTTAAAGTTAAATATTAATTTAAGTATTCAATTCGGACACATTTTTTTTTGACCATTGTCATTACCTATTATTTTGTCAATGTGTTAAAAAAAAATAAAAACAAAAATAAGATATTAATGTTCGTATTGTAGATTCACTAATTAAGGATTTCCATAATACCACCCGTCCACACTTTAATTATTTATAACCACTTTGCCACTTCGGTAACTAATATCACACTCATTGATCACATTTAAATACATGGTATGTAGTATGTACCATCCATGTATCTATTATTGCCTATGAGCAAGGTAGTCGATATACTAATATAATATAAAAATAATATGGAAAAACATTTACGTCGGTATTATCTGTCAACGAGTGTCATAACACCAGGTCCACTATCCCCAATGAAGTATTCACTTCAATAATAACAATAATATTATAAATTCAGTCAAACTTCAACTGAAGGTAGGTACCAGAAAACCTCGATACCTCAAATATTTTTCCCGCCCCTTGATATTTGAGTTATTGAAAAATTGTAATAATAATGTTGTGACTTTGTACCGATTATCATTCAAGGGCGACAGCACTGTGATACCGACTGCCGAAGGACAGTTTGTTGTATATAACGGCTTCAATTGTAACGCTCGTTTGTTAAGTTCGTCATTGCAGTTCGTGGGCAACAACGATATCGATCCTCTGGGCTCAGCCAAATTCAAGTACACTCCAAGTTCCGACGAAGGCGTCGTGAACATAAAGCTGAAATTGAACGAATCGTGCGATGCGTACGTAAACTACCACAATCTGGATACGGACGTGACTGTATCGAGAGGAGAGGTTAGAATTTTAACTAAAATTTAAATTAAAATGCAGCCAATCGATAACATTTTTAAATATGTGAAATTTTAAATTTTAAATTGTTTTAAAAAAATGCTTCGTCTAGATTTTTGGGGTGTTTTTATGCAGTTGTGTTTGGTTCGTTAAATTATGTATTAAATTACGCTTACTTTCAAAGTTATTTGAGCAACAGCTAAGAATTGAAATTAGTTTTCCAAAATTTTCAGTACATTAAACAACTAATTTCACATACCGGGATACTATATGTGTTCTGACTTCTACAATTTATTGGTATAATCAATATATGATGACATCGTATAGTATTTCACAATAAAAATGTATTTATTTTCGATTTTCTAGTCAATATCATATTTTCTAACATCCAGTAATGCAAATAAAGAACTAAATTTACGACGAATCAATCATTACGACGATTTCACCAAGCCTAGAAATGGCCATCCAAGTTTAAGGTGGGTAATATTTCATACTTTAATACCCAGTGATATAGTTTACGTCTTCGAGCAGTATACAATATTCTATTCTTTTTTTTTAGAATCATAATTGGCGATGATATCGAGAAGGACGGATCTCTTGCTCTTGTGAACGCCGAGAAAAATTACTTGTCGTATAACATATCTTCGTTTACAAACGAAAATTTCATACAGGTGGCTTTCGGAAAGTAAGTGTTAACCATTATTCACTTGGGCAAATAGACAAGCAGTAATGCAATATACACTGCGGGAGTTGTTAAGTACTTGTCCAAAAGTATTTGTGTAATTTAAATACTTTTAAATACCTACTTTCTCAAATTATCTGAATTTAAGATCAAATACTAGTGTTCAAAACCTTAAATAATTATTTTTAGTTTATATAACGTAAAATAAAAATGAAAATTGATAGTATTGTTCTACTGTGAATTTATTATGCTCAACCGAAAATCAAATACTTTGACAAAGAAAATATTAGTGAATTGTAAAGTCCCACTAAATTATATGGTGTAAAATACTCTATAAGATTAAAGAACAATATGAAAGTTTTAAAAGGTTAGACAAAAATTATATAAAAGATTCAAAATTATCTATAAATAAAGTATAAGGATTTGTACTCAAATACTCTTATAAATACTGTATCTGTAACTGTATTAAATACTTTTTAAAAGTATTATTGTACAAGACTGAGCGACGGTTTGGATTTTGAATTGTAGACCGTTTCAAATGTCCAAAAATCTAATTTATTTAATTAAAATGTTTTTAGCTATAATTTAGTAAACGGTGAAGGACGGATCTCTTCGAATATAAATCTCATGCCAGCGACGATATATACACTCGTCATACGACGCAACGACGGCGACAGCCACAGCCTGGTAAAACCATAATATATATTATAATATTAGAAATACCATAACTACTATAAAACTATAGCAATGATTGGGGGGAAAATCTATATCGTAATTGTTTCATCATGGTCAAGGCATTTATAGGAATCGAAATTGTACTCTACGGACGAAGGCAACTACTTACACATTTTATGGCAGACACCGCAGTACGTGTGTATGATTATCGGGGACGTGATTTTTATAGCCACGACGATTGAATTTACGTTTACCCAAGTAAGTAGACACGTGCACTCAATAATTCCACGCAGTATATCCGTTAATTGGACAGACACACGTGCAACTTAAAAATAATATCATAACTATATAGGTTAATCTGTCGGGTGGTACAACTGAGTACCTTCCCTCTCTGTAATATCAACGCTATTGTCCATCAAAAAAATTACTTATTGTATAAAATGTTTGTAGAGATTGTAATTATTCTTTTAATAAAATAAAAAACTATATAGGTATATAATATATATCGACGATGAAATCCATATACGAAGATGATCTCCGTTTTTATGATGTTAATAATAATAACAATAATGATTTATTCCTATTCACGCAGGCACCGCCCAGAATAAAATCATTCATATCAGCCTGTTTCTCGATGACCCATTCGATCGGAAATCTACTGGTCGTCATTGTTTCAGCTTTGTCCTTTCGCAAACAAGTGAGATTACCTATTATATTCAGCCCTGTCACCTAAAATATGAATGCACTTACTGCCGCTTTGGGAAGGACCTACTTGAGTAAAAGTATTTGAGTGGAAATATTCAAATACTTTTGAAAAAAGTACAATAATATTTCATAGACAAATAAATGTAAATACTTTCTCGGATTATTTGTATGTACAATCATATACCAATTTTCAAATACTTATTCTTTTTAGTTTATATATGTACTATATTTTTTTACTATTATCAAGTAAAAACAATTTAGTATGTATGGTAATATATTTTTACTGTGAATACTCAACCAAAAATATAAAATATTATACTTCAACAAAGAAAACAGGTGAGTTTCATGGATACACAAAATGATACCACTCAGATGGAGCTATGCCTAGTAAAAGGTATAAATAGGTCGTTGGCCTAAGACATCCCGTTATGATTCTGCAAGTATCGTTCAAACCTTGTTTGGATTGGCGCCAAGCTGGACATGCATATTCTCCAACATAGGGTTATTCTGGTGTTACGAAAAGTGTGAGGTCGTTCTCCTCATTGGGTTCTAGTGAGTTTCCTAAGTAAGTTGTTCTTTGCTTGTACTTTCAATTTATTTTTGAAACAGTGGTCTTTAAATTCCAAAGTCCTATCTAGGGTGACGCCTAGGTGCACGGGGTAGTCAGTGTTCTGCAGTATTTTTCCTAACTATTCTGTATTGGAAGGTGTAAGTAATATATTTAATAGTAGGTTAGGTCATAATAGTTGGTCATGACAAGTGCATTTATAAATTTTTTTTTTACACTATCAAAAGTTGTATCTTAAGCTATGATTTCTAGATTGTCTGCATATAAAAAGTGTTTCGTGTCTCTCGAAGTTGGCTGGTAATTAGTGTATAATTTAAAGAGTATTGGTGCTAGCACGCTACCTTGTGGAAGGCTATTTGTTTGGGTTCTCCAACTACTTCATTTGTCGTTCAGCTTTACCGTAAATCGACGGTTTTGTAGTAGAGAAGAGAATATAAGAAGGAAATGACAATGCCTGGTGTAGTAGTAATACACCTATTTTGTAGCAATTTATTATGGCTAATCGTATCATACACTGCTGTAAGGGGGACGAAAATCGCTCCTGTTATCTTTTTGTTTTCGAAACCATCCTCAATGTTTTGACACATGTTGAGACCTTGGCCTGTACAAGCTTTGCCTGGTCTAAACCCAGATTGCTTTGTTATCAGCTGTTTGTCTATTTGAGTTTTAATACGATTCATTACCATTCTCTCATATAATTTATAGGTGCGGCATAACAAGGAGATGGGTCGATAACTTTGGATCACGTAGGTCTTTTCCTGGTTTGGGAAAGGCTATTACTTTAGACTTTCTTTACCATTAGGGTACAGTGGTACACATTTCAAAAGAATACATGTATTAATAGTTGAATTACCCATCGTCTTGCTCCTAATCCGAAGTGTTTAATTTGTTCTATTACAATTTCATCATACGCAGCCACTTCCCCATTCTTCATTTATTGCAGACTGGGGATGATTTCGTTCATTTGAAAGGCATGGTGGAAGATATGACATTTATTGTTTTTGACTCATATAATTTTATCAATCAGCATTTTCCTTCCAGGCTTACCATTTTTGAGTAATTCTGAGGCCTTCTGATTAGCAGTGACCCTTACACAAGTACTGTGTATAGTTGGAGCTTCACTGGGCCCATTTATTGGGAGCCAGGTTTTCTCCCTAGTTTTAGTCATGTCAGTATTTTCAATGAGATGCCACTTTTTGTCTTTATCATCGCCAAGCTGTTTAATAAGAGTAAACGTAAGGTAAGTAAAGTAAAACGGAGTAAAATGTCTATAAAATATTATCGTATAACATGAAAATCGGTTCAGTTGATTTAAAGCTGAACAAAACATTTTTATTAAATATTTATAATTGTACTCAATTACTATTTTTACTAATTATGAAAATTCGTTTTTTAAAGCATTTTGAAATACCTATCTGTATCTGTAGGTACTTGAATACATTTAAAAAGTATCTTTTTACCTTACTGTGTACAATTATAAACTATATCGCATTTCAGGTACATGAATATCTATTTTACTCCGGACTTATGCTGGCAGACACGTTGTTATTGGCTTATTTGAGTTATAATTACAAGTACAAAGTTTTCAGACAACGGTTAAACGATAACAACGACGACCAAGACGACGACGATAACGTTATGATAAATCAAATTGAACTTAAACTTGATGGGAAATGATCATGAAACGCTCAAACACATGACTGATTGCATAATATAATGTTTGATTTAATCTAATTACAAATTGTATCATCGATAACTTTGTATCTATTTATTATTGTAATCGTTATCTTTTGTAAATATATTATTTATTTTCGATCATAGTTCAATGAGATAGTAAATAATATATTATACTGATCGAGTACAAATTATATCAACACATCATTAATTAGAAAACCTTATGAGGTATGCTTATGATATTTTAAAAACATTAATTCCATAGTGCTGTTTTTTAATCTGTACGGTACATATTAGTATGATATTTCAAGTTGTATTTTTTACATAATAGATAATATATTATAGTACAATAAAACATTCATAGGTATTAACATTGGGAAATTTCAAATTTGGTAGGTATGTAATCATTATAACCACCTATATAATCCTCTCAAATTCTATAGTCATACCAATATTTAACTATATTCTGATCTATTGTGTCCTGGAGAAACAAATTATTAGTTTTTTTCAGTTAGGTTTATCGGAGTAAGAATACCAATAAAATATTAAAACATTGGTGACTGTCATTTTTAACAGCATACAACCGATATTGATAGTAGCCAACCGTATACACAATAATTATTAACAATCTGTTGACTACCGTGACGGCGTATTGTATAGGCAATATAGGTACATCGCTATGTCAAACTTCTATATTATTTAAAAACAAAATGTACCTGTTTTAATTATATTTTTATATTTTTGGAATCCAATTGTGTATGATTTTCTGTGGTTTTAACAGTTATTCGAACTATTATAATACCATATGGTTTTATTTTGGTAAATATAATGAATGACTGATCATGTTGTGTAATTGTGTTTGCATATTTTTTCAGGAAAATAAAACTAATAAAAAGCAAGTCTTTTTACAGAGTAAACTGTATACGGTCGTTATCTCATCATTATCTTCTTATCACTTGTGAGTTTTCTGATGAGAATAAAATCAATACGCATTATTTTTTGGATGATATAAAATCAACAAAACTGTCGTTACACTTAAAAGCAGCACAAAGTTCTTAAACTTTTTAAAATTATTTCGGTCCTCTACTCAGTACTTGAAGACCTTTTGTTTTTGTTAAAACATTAACCTTGTATGCAAACCAAAAAACAGAAACTGTTGATCGACTACAACAAATTCATATTACATAGGGGAAATGACTACCACCTACTATCATCTCTCTCCAACAGTGTTATCGTTTGTGACTTACAAATTATATTTTCATGCGTCGTATCAATACTCCTGATTTCTTGATCTCCAAAATAATAATAGATATAAGTAGAACTTCAATTTGTATAATCTAAATCCTTATTATTATTATAACTATTAAATGGTGTTCACGGTGTTGGATGTGACGGGAGAGAAATAATAATAAACTGAGATATATATGTTACGGTAAATTACGTTAAACGGAAATTAACGTTATTGACCAAATACATGTGTCATTATTGTTTTAGACCAGATAAGCATGTGAATCTCAAATTCTGTAATTTCTAAAATGATGTAGGTATTTTTTGGAATAGAAACAACCCGGACCGCATTAGTATTATTCTCATATATTTATTTTTCTCGGCTTGTGCCCGTCAATTAAGAGTAGACTAGAAAATTGATTTGGTTACTAATACTCTTCTTGGATGCACTAATTTTTCTGGTATGGAACACATAATTTGAAGTTTAAAGTTTTTGATCAAACTATATTTCTCGGTATCGTTATGATAGGAATAAATTCAAACCATGTGTATAGAAGTATATAGATAAAAAAGGTAGACAAGAAGTACAGAGTATGGTAATAATACTAAGTTGAAGATCAAGTGTTGGATATGAGGACAGCTCTGTACTTGATCAGCGTGTTCGTGGCGTAACCGGTGTTTTGGTCGCTTAACGAACCACTGGTATGTTATGTATAAATATTGTTACCATAGGGTCTATAAATTATAATATCGACATGGATCTTTATTTTTGTATGACGTAACGTCCATTCTGCCTCCAGGGTTCTCGGTGGACATTACAAGCCATGCTGATGATTGATGAATGGCCACATGGACAATCAAATCCGATCAAATGCAAACACTAGTACCATTTTTTGGACTGACATTTCTAGTTTTCTTTGACGTCATCTTACTCCTGATTCTCGCCTAGGTTGGCGTCCTGAGACTTTACATAAACTCACGTTGAGCGGTGTCTTAGCCATCATAGCATCTGTGATCACAGCCAAAGTGCAGTTTTTCGTAATAAAGTGTTCGTATGTTCGAGGACGTTACATGTGCAGGATCATATAAGTTCGTTCGAAATGATCAACGTTACCCATACAGTCTTTTCACGGGATGACGTCTCCACTCTCCATGACATTACAATTTTAACCTTAATGCTCATTTGTACCAGATAACTAGGAGTTTAATACCATTGTGATGATAATCGAAGGAGAGGTGAGAGGTAAATGTTTTAATCAATATACGAGGTTAGGTATATTATATATATAAAATCCAAATACTACTCGCACTAACTGTTCGATGCGTCTCAAAAACTAAAAAACGTATGGCCTTTAAATTTGGTATTGTGGTTCCTCCAATGATCTAAATGTGCAATAAGAAAGGATTTTCCGAAATTCGCTTTGTAAAGAGGTGCTCAAACAGAGATCTTGATATTCTCGATGAAATTGGAAATTTTATTTTTAATTATAAATAGTTGGCGTTGATCACAGTCACAGTTTATAATTTTTGTAAATTGTAATAGTAGAAATAAGTATTTTTTTTTTTATATATGTAAGTGGTTGCCAATGGTTACTTGGGTAGATGAGGTAAAAGCATGCAAGCATGCATCGAATTGTCGAGCTTATGGCCTCAAATAAATAAATTATATCTGAAAATATATATTATATAAAAATTATTAGAGTTTATTTATAAAATGATTCTTCTATATAATTGTTGCCTATAAGCTAGAAAACCACTCTACCGATTTTAACGAAATTTCAGAGATTGTTCTTACAGGTTATAGCTTGGCACCTTGAAGATAAATTCGAACTCGTACGATATAAATTTAAAATAATAATAAATATTATAACTATGCACATTGCAAAGTAAAATACTACGTGAAACACGCACGTACTCAACGACAATGTCAACGACATAATCGTAATGCCTAACAATATAACTTTAAACAACGTAAGACAATTTTAATTTTTACTCGTTTAATGTTCTATAATGTGTATATACATTTTGTTGTCAAGTTGTATATATTCGTTATTTTTAATTGTGGATAATTCGAACTTCTCAAATAAAAGATAACTTAGTCAGTCAAAATGAGAAATGTATAATCAAACATTTGAAAAAAAATCTGGTAAATAATAATATATCTGACTTTTTTTTAAAGAATTTTTGAAACTAGTCTTAACACATTAATTTGTTATAGTAAACGAAATATGAAACGGCAGTGAAAATAACTAATTTAATATTTTTGTATTAAAAATAGGCATTTAATATGAAGGTAGGGAAGGAAAACCTCCAACGTGATTCTGTTTAGGAAAATGTATGAAGGGGCTAAGTTCCTCCTCACTGCATTTTTGGACTTGTCACTTGTGTTGTGCCTCTGATCTTCAGAACATTTTTTCTATCGATCGATGAAAAAACTTCACGACTTATTTTTTGTCTGTGAAACTATAGATAAAGAAAATTCTATATAGTGCGCTTTATCATCGTTGCGTCATCTATACCTATAGGCTATAATATTATAATATTTTATCATTCTAACACGGTATGTTTTGAATGGATGTTTCCACACTATTTACGACAGAGGCGAGGTCGATTACACTCTGTTGTCGTATCTAAAGGTTTAAATTAGTCTTTAAAAATAAATAAGAAAGCTTTTAATCTTAAAGCTTTATAATAGGTAGTAGGTACCTATACAAAATAATATACATGAATGTTTATTACACTGCGGTATAGAATATTATTGAACTTAAGAATTATAATATCATTATAATATCATTTTTGGCACTTAGGTATACTCGGGAAAGGTCACTGTGGCCGCTCGTGACGATGGGGCTTTGATAGCCCACGACATAGATCGATGATGCGCGGGTGTGAAGATTAAAATATAATTGACGCCTATAAATAACACTTAGCCTACTATTCGTAATTTTGATATTTGGTATTCTGGTATAGTAGAGCTAATACGATAGCGCCGACGGCTCATATTGTTATACAGGATGTAACAGAAAGATCCAACAAATAAAAATAATTAGACACTGTAAACAATTATTAAGTTTTAAATTAATTTATCAAAAAAAAAATTGTAAAGAAAAAACTATTTCACTTTAGTGAACGTTTTTAATATCAAAATTAGATTTACAAATTGCCTATTTAGAATTTTTCTATAAAATAGGTAAGGTCTTTCTGTTACACCATTTATTTTCATATTTGCCAAAACAATAACTAACCAGATTAACAAAAGTTCAATTATTACTCGAGTATTAAAAAATTACTGCCATAGAAAATTTATTACCATATACATAATACACGTACCTTGTTTCATAAGTGGCATGCTAGGTACCAGATAATTTTCCTCAACAAGGTAAATTAGGAAATCATGTAGATATGTTTTCGGTTAAAGTGAAGAGGAAAAATACCTAGTAGCATGCTACTACATTTGGTTAGGGATTTTTTTTTGTATTATTGTTGATTTGTGTTATTTTTTATAAAAAAACCAAAGTGATACAAAAATCGTTAAGAAAATAAACCTAAATAGTTGTTCCCTGCCAAAAAAAAACATGCCCATGTTAAAAAGAAAACACATGATAACTATAAAATCAAATATCAATACATTCATGAGCCATGACCCCACTCAGAATGTGTCTTCGGTATTACCACCACAATTCATTTAAATATTTTATTATAGTAAATAGACAGTAATAACACCATTGAATATTTTTGGGACACCAATGCGTAGGAAACATGATTAAAATCAGAAT